CGCGTTTGACTACGGCACTGCAGGACCGAGGGTTCGCTCCCACACTGAACAAGAGTTTCTATGCTGTAAAATAAATAGTCTGCGTCTGGATGCTTTTCATCATCAACACTGTATATTGTGTATTAGAGGAACTTAATGCTTTATAGATATCCTCCATGGATCTCTTTCACCTCCTCATCTAGATATGCCGAGGTTGATGCGTAGACCTGTATGACCTTTAGCGAATATCATTTAGTGATTCTGAGTATAAGAAAAGTACGCCAGCCTTGTCAACACACTCCCTATCGTCACAACATTGTTGACTAGAGACTTGTGGACGATAAATCCAACACCTCCTTGATGGGCCCTTACAGTGAGATTGTAAGTCGCTTCCCGAGGATAACCGTGTCCTCCTTATATCTTCAGACTTTAGATAAGCCTTTAATACCCCAGCGCAACTTGTTTCTTTTTTCTCCAACTTTCAGGATGTTCTCATCAGTTCTGAGGGCGCGTGCGTTAAAAATTGTTAGTCTGGTTGCCAAGACGTTCGGTACCTGAACCTACCATATGACTTAGCAAATTGCCCTGCCGTTACCACGTCTTTACGTCGCTGTCGATGTCAGCCATAGTTGTAACGCTTGGTAGATGGGTCAGCATTCGCATCTTTTTAATTTTTATAAGTGTATGCCGCTGCCCTTCTCCTAGTTTGTATCCCAAGTTGCCCCTTACGACACCCACGGGAATTGTCCATATTGATAGATTAGTAGATATTTTCATTTCTCATATCGCCACTACACGATCATTCACTCAGTGCTTATTCACGCACATCTAATGTGGCGTTATCAATATAATTAAAAATTATAAGGCAACGTAATTTCATCAAATCGTGTACCATTTATCATTGATTATTCACGGTTAGTAATCGTAAGCCTGATTTCTTAATACTGAAAACATGAAACTATCAGAAATATTGTTATTTTTGTTTATAAATACAATTCGTAGTGATGTGACGGACAATTATCTTAACGGTACTACTATTGAATCAAAAAATAAATATGATGGCTATAAGTTTCCATATAAATATTTGGCACCAGAAATACAACTTCCAAATGTGTCTGATTTAGCCAAATATTTAGAGAATTTAAATCGTACCGTTAGTTACTTTAATCGGTTTCCAAATTCAACTGATTGCAATATAGCATTGGGAGCATTTTATACGAAAGGTATGTTAAGTACATAATCCTCTATGTATATGCCACGCATTGTTGTGTATGCGCAATATTTATGTATTTGGAGGCGCCAATTGTTCCGATTTTAATCCGGGTCGAAGAACCAGAAAATGGTGGAGCTATTAGGTCTTGGGTTCGATTCTCGGGACGGGCTAATCAACTATGCGAGATTAACTATATGTGGACTGTATATGCGTGTATATAACCAAATAAAGATAACTGATGTGGCACGTGATAGGCTTGGGCCAATGCACTCGTTATCACATAATCTATTATATCTAACCGATGCCTTTCACGGGAATAAAATAGGAACTGTTAGGAAAAGGTGACATAGTGCAGAAAAAACCAAAAAAGAACAGCTCGAGATGAATTAAAAGGAAAGCATTTACCGGGGTGAGTTCCTTACTGCTTCAGCGGCCTCGAGGGTGGTGACCTTTGTGTTGTGACTGCGTTGCAAGAGAGGTGCGCGACGACAAACTGCACTATGCGAAGCGGTTATTACGAGTACTAAATTGTTCTGTGGCCGACTTCCACAGATGCAATCACATCTAGCGTCTATCTTCAACTACTCGGCCGGGTGGCGGCACGTCGACGACTCTGGTCGGCCGGCGACGTGTTCCGGCCCTTTAACTTTTCTATCATTGGGCGATCAAGATGTCGCCACTAGTCTAGCCCTCCACTAATCTAGAAATGACGCCACATAATTTGGCTTCCTCCCCTCTCCCCCCTTTCAGTGCGTGCGGAAAGAAATGCGGATAGGATGAAGGAAGGCATCGACCAGCTACTTACCAACTAAACAAAATGCGAGGGTACTCTTTTCTGCGCAACCAGTATTTGTTTGTTTTTACTTCGTTCCATCTTACAACCTATATACCCACTGCTGGGCAACCCTCTTCTGATAGGGCCAGGAACACTTCCCACACTATTTCCATTTGCATAAAATTTCATTGTCCACGAGATTGAATCCGTGTTGCTCGCGTACTGTGAAATTTACAGAGAGTCGTAACTATCTGAGCTACCACGGCTCGAAATTTTCAATATAGGGGGCGACAAATCGATCTAGTTAGGTCTCATTTCTAGGAAAATAATTTCTTCCGTATTTTCACACACAACAAAAAACTTGACTTGCCAGCGTAATGTGATGGTAGTTTCGCCACAGAGATCATAATTATATTAGTAATGGCTAGAGCGTAGTTCTACCACGTCAGATTGCGCAAGTTCGATTTCTGCAATGTGCTCAGAACTTTTATTTTTATTTATTGTTACTCAGTAACACACAAACTGGGTAAAATAAATCACTATATGTATATTTTACTTTTTAGCCCTCCTTTTTAACTGTAATGTTAAGCTATATATGTATACGTGGTAGAGCTACGCTGCAGCTATATATTATTATGGTTGTAGCATGAATGGGTCAGCTCGACCGGGGCAGGATCACGCTCTCACAGAATACCAGCGTGAAAAAGCAACCTAATGCTGTTTTTCGTATGGTGAGTGAGAGAACCGGAGACTCCTTTTACTGGATACGAGGCATTCTATCTTAGTCCTCAGGGGTGATAACGCATCTGCGTTTTGATTCTTAATCTAGGATAAATGTAGATGTCAATACGCCACAGCATCCACTTACCATCAGGTGGACTGTGTGCTCGTTTGTCACCCATATTGTATAAAAAAAACTTTAGTCGAAAAAAGTTTGATTACAGTATTTTTACATAAAATATAACGACTAACTCGCCGAGTTATTTGTGGACGTTAGTCGTTACGAGTTCGACGCGTTTACATACTCGTCTGTATTCATTCAACTTAAGGCGACACCGTGAAAAAATGCACCTCCTTTCATCGAATAGTATAGGACTATGACACCACTAACGAAAGTGGGATTTTGATATAGGTAAATTCATGTCTTTACCTTGAATTTGATTGCTCAAAAACACGATTGTATAATTTTGACTCGATCATAATTATTTGCGAAAACACCTCTAAAAAAAAATTACAACGAAATCATTTGATATATATGCTTGGGAATCACTCAAATATATTCATAACATCAATATTCATAATTTACTTGCTCATTATTTTGATAACCTAAATCAATAATTTATTAAAAAATATTTTAAGATTCTGACAATTTCTAAGCGCTTTTAATCGTCGCGGGCACTACGCAATTTTAGACCTTAGACGGCGTTTCATCAAGTTTTTATAGAAATTATGTATTCACTCGGATCAGTACGGCGATAGCGTTTTCGATGTGTCGTCTTAACTAGATCTTTTAAACGTGAATGACGTGCGTCTCCTTGCCACGGCTTTGTGTCTACTTATATATATAGACTCACAAATATTTATTTTGGGGGGCATGGGACGACCCCCACTAGATGGAGTAACGACCCGGCGAGACATGCAGGAAATCTATGGATGCAGATGGCTCAGGATCGTGTTTTGTGGTATTCCTTGGGTGAGGCCTATGTTCAGTAGTGGACTTGTGAAGGGCATTATTTTAATTAACATTTATTTAACTGATTTTTATTTTCTAGGACCCCATATCACGGGTTCTCCTTAACAAAGTTCTATATAAATAGTATATTCGTTACCCCAATCCATTACAGTTGGTAGGTGATTTTATTATTATTATTTTACTAAATTATTTTATAAGAAAAATAATAACTAACTGCAACAAAGTACGCTGTCAAGTGAATAACAAGTATGCAAACACCGACACGAATAAACACGAGCATTCCTTTTACTCGGGCCTAAAAATCGATACCGAGTGGAGAACAAGCGGATACACGGGCCGAGAGCGAGTACACTCGAACAAAGCATTTACATGCTCGTACTCATGCTTACTCGTCTGTGCTCGGCGAGTATGTAAACGTTGCATAATAAATATGGTCATTAACTGTTTTTTTAAGTTGATTTTTCGAAGTGTGGCAATTATTAGGGAAATAATTGCCTTATCGTTATGCTATTTTTTAAAAATATATTAGTTATATAAACGACTTCGTGTTTATATCTCCATCTTCCTCCTAGTTTTAGTTTTACAGGGCGTCAAAGTTTAACCTCCTCACGTACCTTACTCACAACCTAAAATCAAAACATACAGCAAAACAAAATATATATGCCGAATGCCGAATGCCGCCGAATAAGAAACCGTCAAAATTGTCCTAATATCATATTTTCAACCTGTTTCGGAACTTCAAATGCGCGGCAGCCCTATCAGAACTCTGAACGCATTATTGTATTGAATTTTTTTCAGGCTCACAGGCTCGTAGTCCACCGTAGATGGTAAGTGGGTACATTTACCCGCGATTAAGATTCAAACCGCAGATGCGTTGTCATCCCTGATGACTAAGATGGAATGCCTCGTGTTCAGTAAAAACTGTCTACACTCACCATACGAAATGCAGCAACATTAAGCTGCCATTTTACGCTGGTATTCTGTCAGAATGTGGTCCTTCCTCGGTCGAGTCGACCCCTTCGCGCCACAACCATAATATAGATGCAGCATGACTCTACCACGTAAAAACAACGTACCACGTAAAAGTATGCTCCAAATGTTACTTTGACTTATGCCTTGCAGAGATGAAGAGTTGCTCACACTAAACACACGAAGCTGACTCACCATCATCGGTCTGTAAGATTTGGATGCGTATCTAAGGTTTCATTTTAAGCTTAATAAATTATATTTATTTTATTTTAAATAATATAATAAAGTGTAGTGTGTATAAATATTGTTCAGCTCTTCTAAAAAGGACACTGAAAGACTACAAAAAACGCATAATTACACATTATTGCGAGATGATTTTGGATATAATTAGAAAATGTGAAAATATAGTTTCCCACTACGTATATATAAACCGTATGTATGGATTGCAAGATGAAGAATATCGATGTAAGTTGTTAAAATATTTTTAAATTAGTTTTACCTCTTACTTTATTGTGTATTTATTATCGTTCGTGACTATCGATTTTAAAAATGAAATGCAAAAAATTAAATTTAAAAAAATTTTATGAATTTTTGACAGCAATAATATAAACTCAATGGCCGCTATAAGAGCCTAGACTTAGAATTTACTGGCGTATAAGTCTATGGTATAAAGTATACTGCTGTAAAATGCACATGGTCAGCGGTTAATGCATAGTAAAATTTATGTCACATTTATATTTATTTCTTTAAATACAACCAAATATAAATCTTTGTAACTTGAAATTAAAAAATATAATTATAATATTAAAAACAAAAACTCAGTTCCGTAAATACTATTAACAAATAGGTACTATGATCCGCTTGTCAGAATTCGCTATCAAACAAGCACTTTATTACATTTGCGAATACCATAATGATATTGCACACCTCGAACGTGAAGCGGAGAGATTGGGCTTTACTGACGATTTTACAAAGTAATACATTAATAATAATTATAAACAAAAACCCAGTTGCATAGATATGATTAACAAGCAGGTATGATACGTTCGTCATAACTCGCTTCAAGCAAGCACTTTATTATGCGAACACCATGGTAAATATTGCACATCTCGAACTTGAAACGGAGAGGTTGGGCTTTACTGTCGATTTTACAAAATCAAGCTATTTTTAGGAGGTTTTGTTTTAAATGCCTCGCTTAACAGATTGACAGACACTCGCATTACTCATAAAGCAACGCAGACGCCGAAATACCGGAGGTCCGGAGGCATTACTCGACGTCGAAACACGACGACGACGAAACATTTTGTCTCTTTTCTTCATCCGACCCGTTTCGTAATCTTTAAGACGTTGCGGTAGACAGAACGGTTACGAATGGATTATTTCAGTGATATTAGTCCACATCATCAATCCATACAAAATGACTTCTACACCTACTATAATTTACACAATATTCACAGACATTATTCATTCAGTACAGTCTCTTAAAATCCCACACTTAAACACAGTGTTGCGCACCATAATTAATGCCTGGTACGTGGCGAGTGGTAACTTGCGCCATCTAGTATCGAGTAGCAGAACTAGGAGAGCTTTCTAGAAAATTCCATACTAGAACTTTCTACATCTAAGCAGTCGGGGACCGGTATATATTTGAACATTCTAGATGTTTCAGTAGAAGAGACCCTATAAAAAGGCCAGTAAGAACCGCGACCGAGTCAGTTTTGAATTGGCTATACAAGTTACAAGCGAATACTTCTAAGCGATATAACTTCGAACTAAAGTATTTTATTATTAGTGTGTTTTAAGTTGTAATTGGTGTTCGGTAATTAAGGTGTCAATTTTGGTTATTCAATCGACAATTTTACTTTCACGAACCCCAAACTCGTAACGATAGTTTCACCATATTATACCAAATCTAATGAAGTACCTAGAAATGGTAAAATTACATTTTATTATTAATTAAATTCTGTAATTTTTTCAGTGTCAAGATTATTTATTGACGACAATGCTCAAGTCTACTCTATTAGTGCATTCAACAAGGGTCATCTTAAGCAATGGCTTCTTACTAATTCCGACGTCCATGATTATGCCGAAGATATGGATGATATTTCTCTACCTAAGTTAAAATATTTGGAATTTGTCTTGAGATTTAGTAAATTATATTTAGAACCTTCAGATTCAGGTAAACATTTTTTTTCTCATGTTGATTCTTCTGCACTAAGAGTTAGTTACTCTGCTCAACCATATATGAGTTTATACGGTGCTTAGAAACACCTCACGAGGTCTAAGAAGTGGGTGTGTGACGCATGAGCAGACTGCACGCACAAGAACTGAGTTGTAGCACTGTGCGCTACGCTGTCTACGGGCACGCGCAGGGTGTAGTAATTTTACAGAAACTATTGAGAACTAGAGACACTCTCTCTATCGATATTCATATCAGAACTAAACAGCGTACCCACCGACCTCTATATATTGAGCGTACCGCATTATATATTTATTGTTGTGATTTTACACACATTTTAAACACTGGTTAACAATTCGACCATATCGTAATAAAAAATGGGCTTCGCCTAAAGTTTTTCGAAAAAACTCTTTTTGTATTGATTACTCGCCAGTAATAACGATAATTTATTTTGAAAATACGATTACATATAAGTAACGAAAAAAGAAAGTGAATTTCCCTTCACATTTTTTAAGAAATTGAAATATCTTGTTTCATTTAAAAATGGATCTCCATCGGGAACATTATTACGTTATGATTTTTAAATGTCGCTTTTATCCGGACAAATCGTTTGATAGACTTGAAATGGAACTTTTAGATAAAGATCCTTTTAAAGCAACTAAGTATCTATCGCTGGTATAATACATTGCAAAATGGGCAATTAACTTTTAGATATGTAGAAAAAAGTGGTCGATCTTTGACAGCCGCTACCATTGGGATATTATGTAAGTACTTCAATGGCTGTTACCGAAGGAAACGGGCTGGCAGTGCAAAATTTAATGGAAGAGAATAGACAAATGATCTATGAAAATATTCAGCAGGTATTGTAGATCGGATCTGGAAGCATTCACGAGATTTAACACGAAATTTTATACGCGTTGGGTGCCGCACAACCTCTTCGGTGCTCCCATGTAGAATGGTGCCGTGTCACGATTACTAAATTTAAAGCAGGCTCATCGTGGCGCGCTTACGAAATTATCACAGGTGATGAATGTTGGATTTATCAATACGATCCAAAACGAATCACTACCATGTGACTTCTTTCTATCCCCTTATATAGTTACTTGCAGTTAACAGTTTCGAAAAATTGGTTCAGACGCATGTAACTTTTTACTATAGAGAACATTTGTTCAGTTTCGCGAATTTTTTGGTTCATGTATGATCCGGTCACAAGCATTAAACACACATTAGTGTAAAGTGGTGGACGTAAAATAGTACGTTTACACCAAAACTGATAATGTAGTATTTATGTGTTTTTGTATAAATTAGAGTCATACTGCAGCTATAATATGGTTGTAGCACGAATGGGTCGGCTCGATCGGGGAAAAACCACGCTCTCACAGAATAGCGTAAAATAGCAGTTTAATATTGCTGCATTACCGTGTAGTGGCGGTTGAGAATATCCACTACCCCATATCTTCCCGTGGGTGTCGTAAGAGGCGACAGAAGGAGACAGGCAGGAGATGGGCAGCAGCATCTTCCTGATAACAACAATAACAGTTAGGATCAACGGGGTCTACTCGGACTGGTTTGACATTCATAAAGGTGTTAGACAGGGCTGTGTGGCTTCCCCGTGGCTGTTCAACCTATTTATAGACAGTTGTTTGCAAAATTTGAAAGTTGAAGAATGCGGATTAAGAATGGGTGAGTTAACCGTCAAATGCCTTTTGTACGCCGATGATCAAGTCATCCTTGCGTCGTCGGCGGCCGAGTTGCAAATGATGGTTACATTATTGAACAGATCATTAAAAGAAAAGGGTATGAAAGTGAACGCAAGTAAGACGAAGGTTATGGTTTTTGAAAGAGAAGAAAGTAAAACGATTTGTGAAATAAGAATAGAAGGGGAGTTGATCGAGCAAGTAGATGAGTTTGTATATTTGGGCTGCGTATTTAGCAGGGATGGGAGATATGATAAGGATATAGAACGACGAGTGAATGCGGGAAATAGAGTAAACCCTGCCATAGAGGGCCCTGCACTCTATTGTGAAGAGTCAAAAGGTGTCAAAAAAGGCACGTATGGCAATTCACAATGCTGTGTTGGTCCCCACTTTAACGTATGGTAGTGAAAGTTGGGTGTGGCAGAAGAAGCACGAGAGTAGAATCAACGCAGTAGAAATGCGGTCCTTAAGGAGTATGTTAGGGCTGAATCTGAACGACAGGGTAAGAAATTGTGTAATAAGAGAGGAGTGTGGTTTGCAAGATGATGTTGTGACCAGGATTAAGAAAGGAATGCTTCGGTGGTTTGGTCATGTGGAAAGGATGAATGAGGAAAGAGTGACAAAGAAAATTTATGTCGCAGAAGTGAATGGCAGAGTCGGAAAGGGACGTCCTAGGCGAAAATTAATCGACCAAATTGGCGATTTGTTGAAAACGGGCCAAATTAGGAGTACCCTTAACCGACGAGTATGTATGCGTAGGTGTATGGATGTGAAGGAGGCGAGAGAGGTGTGTCAGGATCGTGCCAAATGGAAGTCTGTAGTCTCTGCCTACCCCTCTGGGTGACAGGCGTAAGTGTTTAGGTTATGTTTTTATGTTTAAAAAAACTGCGGTTGCCAACCCGCTCGCCAAGCGTGGCAACTATGGCAAATATCCCCCCCCCCATGAATAACGACGCAAACAAACGGCCCCAGTCCCCGGCGACCCCGCTATTCCTGGCTACGGTGGCGACCATGGTAACGGCAGGGTAGGGGGTGCTAAGAATCTCCGGTGGAGGTTCGGTTGCCACCTACTACGACTCGACCTGACAACATATAACGCACGCACCCTGAGGACAGACGAGAAGATACTGGAGCTGGAAGAAGAGGTAGACAAGTTGCGCTAGCATATTATTGGATTATCCGAGGTCCGAAGAGAGGGGGAGGACACGGTAATCCTCGAGTCCGGCAACTTGTTCTATCACCAGGAGGGCGACCATCTATCCCAAGGAGGTATCGGATTTATCGTCCACAAGTCTCTCGTCAATAACGTTGTAAAGATTGGGAGTGTGTCGACGAAGGTCGCGTACCTGATACTCATAATCACCAAACGGTATTCGCTGAAGGTCATACAGGTTTACGAACCAACCTCGGCACATCCCGATGAGGAGGTGGAGGAAATGTAAGAGGATATTTTCAGAGCCATGCCCAACACTACACGGTGTTGCTGGGAGACTTCAACGCAAAACTAGGCACAAGAGAAAACGGTGAGCTGATGTTAGGGAAATTTTGAGTAGGGCAACGGAACCGAAGGGGCCAGCAGCTGGCCGACTTTATGGAGAAAGAGGGAATCTTTATGATGAACTCTTTCTTCCATAAGCAGCCCCACAGGAAGTGGACCTGGTTGAGCCCCGACGTTTCGACAAAAAATGAGATTGACTTCATTATGACGAGCAGACGCCAACTGTTCAGTGATGGCAAGGGTGAAAACTGGCAGCGATCACCGAATGGTTAGAGGCACACTGAACTTAAACGTTAAGTTGGATAGGTCTCGTCTAATGAAGTCAACGCTCCGTCCCCCTCGTGCTCTAATCCAGAATCCCGAAACTTTTCAGCTCGAGTTACGTAATCGCTTTCAGTGCCTAGAAGATTGCAATGCAGTGGACGATATGAATGACAAGCTCGTGGAAACTGTCCATGCGGTCGGAGCTAAGTTCTGCAAGACCCGCCGCAGAAGAACACAAAAACTCTCCGATCACACTCTTAATCTCATGGCTGTTAGACGGGAGATAAGGCTGCAATCGTCAATATTTTGACAGCGTACAGGCAACTGAACAGACAAATCTCCAAATGCATGCGGCGAGACTTACGCAACTTTAGTACTGCTCGTATTAAAGAAGCGATCGAGCGGAACCAGGCCTCCAAAGTCTTTGCCAGAGATCTGTCTGCCAGAAAGAGCCAACTGTCAAAGCTGAAGATTGAGTGTGGCAGCATCGTTTCCGGGACACCTGAGATTTTGAGTGAGATTGAGAGGTTCTATGTGAGTAACGATCCAAGAGCAAGTCTTATCCGACACTATTCCGATGATATCCCGGACGTCAGTCTGAGCGAGATTAGAGTGCCTCCCCAGCACCTTAAAAACGGCAAGGCCCCAGGTGAGGATGGAATTACAGCGGAGCTTCTGAAAGCGGGTGGAACACCGGTACTTGAAGTCCTTCAGAAGCTCTTCGATTCCGTCGTCCATGGTGGCACTACTCCGGAGGCGTGGAGCAGAAGTGCGGTGGTCTTGTTCTTTAAGAAAGGCGATAACGCTCTCTTGAAGAACTACAGACCGATCTACCTTCTGTTGATACGCGTCTACATGCTGTTTTCGAGAGTCATTACGAATCCTCTCGCACGCATACTCGACGACTTCCAGCCTCCCGAACAAGCCGGTTTCCGAAAAGGCTTCAGTACCATAGACCACATACATACCCTGTGTCAGATTGTACAGAAGACCGAAGAGTACAATCTGCCACTTTGCCTGGCGTATGTGGACTATGAGAAAGCCTTTGATTCCGTCGAAACTTGGGCGGTGCTACAGTCTCTTCAGCAGTGCCAAGTTGACTGTCGGTATATCGAAGTGCTGAAGTGTTTGTACAGTAGGGCTACGATGGCTATCCGTACAGAACCAGAGTTCGAAACCTATCCAACTGTAGAGAGGTGTAAGACAGGGTGACGTTATATCCTCGAAACTCTTCACCGCTGCGTTGGAAGACGTTTTCAAGCTACTTGACTGGAAAGTATACGGTATTAACATCAATGGCGAGTACATCACTCACCTTCGATTTGCCGACGATATAGTCCTTATGGCAGAATCGCTGGAGGACCTTAACACTATGCTCAATGACCTCAATGGTGTCTCCCAACGGATATGTCTTAAGATGAACATGGACAAAACAAAGATCATGTTCAATGTCCATGTCACACCTATGCCGGTAGTTGTTGGAAGCACTATGTTCGAAGTTGTTGACGAGTACGTTTACCTGGGACAAATTAGTCCAACTTCGACCGAGAGGTCAATTGACGGATTCAACTCGGCTGAGCAACGTTCGGGAAATTACGACACATCTTCTCGTCAGCTATACCTCGAAACCTGAGAACGAGACTGTACAACTAGTGCGTGTTGCCAGTGATGACTTATGGAAATGAGACGTGGTCCTTCACTGCTGGCCAGAGCTATGGAGAGGGCTATGCGCGGGGTTTCTCTGCGTGATAAACTTAGAAATGAGGATATCCACAGTAGAACCAGAGTGACCGACATACCCCAACGGATTAGTAAGCTGAAGTGGTAATGGGCCGGCCATATAGCTCGAAGAACCGACAACCGTTGGGGAATAAAGGTTCTCGAGTGGCAGCCTCGTACCGGTAGGCGTAGTGCAGGGTGACCCCCCACTAGATGGAGTGACGACCTGGTAAGACATTTTGGAAGTCGATGGATGCAGGTGGCTCAGGACCGTGCTTTGTGGCATTACTTGGGGGAGGCCTATGTTCAGCAGTGGACTTGTGAAGGGCTGTAATGATGATGATGATGATGATTGCTGCGTTTTGTATGGTGAGTGTAGAAAACTGGAGACCCTTTTCACTATAATCAAAGCATTCCATTTTATTCCTCAGGGGTGACAACGCATTTACACTTTTATTATTAATCGAGAATAGATGTAAATGCCTATAGGCCGCACCAACCGCTTCCCATCAGGTGGACTATGTGCTCGTTGATCACTCTTATAATATATAAAAAAATTATGCAAACCAACAATACTGCTTATTTCGATATGGGTCTGGTCGGTTTCACCGCAGAATACTCTTCATAACTTCTTTACGCACCTTATGTTACTTATACTGTTCCATACAGTAAGATTTCGAGATCTACCCTCACTTTTATTTATCTGCTACTTTTACCTCCAACACGTAAATTTTATGTCTACAGATTTTTGCATATCCATCGTCACATACAATCCGAAGCCTATACATTTGTCTACATTGCAGTCGTGTCAACCTAATCAGTATTGTTTCGAACTTTTGCACTCCTCGCCATCGACTGCGTACGCGCTCAGTCATAGGTAAGTTTTTTTAACTTGTGTTTGATATAGTGCCTTTTGATTTTCTATTTTTATTGAAGATGTTAAAAATCAAGTAGCTAATATCCGCTTAGTAAAATAAAATTAAGAGCTAGTTTGAAGAGCGTCTCCCGCCCTCCCTCAATTGCGTGCACTATCCCCGTATCCCCAATATCACTAATCCCAGCACCATTACTCCCAACAGGAACCTCTAAACGTAGTATCAACAGGTTAAATAGATTCTGTGGAGGCTGACCGCCACTGGTTCACACTTCACTGGTTCTATTTGTATATCATCAAGTCAAATTTATCGCCTTAATTATAACAGACATAATATTTTTGTAGCACGAATGGGTCGGCTCGATCGGGGTAAGATCACGCCCTCACATTCATGCTGCAGTGTTTCGTAAGGTAACTGTAGAGAACCGGAGACCCTTTTGATGTGAAACATCTATAGCGGCGGGTCAGACTGACCTGGCATGGAGACGCATTCGATGATATAGCGTGCGTCGCCACGCTATATGATCGAATACAACTAATAAAGAAGTCACCGATAAAAGAATTAAGTTTTGAATAGAATTTACAAATTTTGTATTTTTTGAATATAAATGTTAAAAGTCATAGTTTTCTTGAATTTTTTTTATATGCTTTTGTTATTATGCCATATTTATTTCCTGTTGTAAATTATCTTTTATGCATATTACCTGTACAAAATAATTTCGATGTTTTACATCTGCCAGGCGTCCCTTGACGGCTCATATTTTTTTACTGGAAACGAGGCGTATACGTGGTAGGATCATGCTACAGCTGTATAAGTAGTATAGTTGTAGCACGAATGGGTCGACTCGACGGAAGAAGGACCACACTCTCACAGAATCGAAACACAGTAGCTCAACGCTGCTGTGTTTCGTATGGTGTGTTAAATGACCCATTTTGCTGGCAACGAGGCATCCAAACTTATTCCTTAGGGGCGACAACGCATCTGCATTTAAAATCGTAATCGAGGATAGAGGTAGATGTCTATGGGCCTCAGTAACCACTTACCATCAGGTAGACTGTGTGCTCGTTTGTCATGCTTATCCTATTAAAAAAAAAACCATCTGCCTCATGGGTGACAACGCATCTACGTTTTAATTCTTAATCGAGGTTAAATGTAAATGTCTATGGGCCTCGTTTGTTATCTTCAATCTGTTTAAATAAAGATATAGTAAATTTTTATTACAGTTTAATTATTGCCTTCGTGTTGTAGACTCTTGAACATTTTAATTCGGCACCAAATGCTTCGCTGTTATTTGAAGAGCCCGGAGGAAGACTCATCGCATATCGATCTGCTGTGCGCCTTCATGTATCGGGAGACGGTATACTTGGCGCGTCGCGGCTTTTTCGTCAGGGATATGTTCTTGGAACATAGTATGTTTTTATAATTTAGAACTACTCGATTTTTTTAAATATAAGTAAGGGTATCGAAAGAACACACAGTTTTTTTTTTATAGAAGAGGAGGCAAACGAGCATGTGGCTCACCTGATGTTAAGTGACTACCGCCGCCCATGAGTTTATCTAATGGCAAGCGGATGCTGAGGCTTATAATCATAGGGCTCCTATCTATTATCGATTAAGTATCAAAACGTAGATGCGGTGTCATCCTCGAAGATTGTGATGGAATATCTACTCGTAGTTACAAGAAAAAGTATTTTTCGGTTCTTGTCACCCACGAAACAACATCATTATATTGACATTTTATGCTCACATTCTGCACGAGCGTAGTTCTTCCCCAGTTATGGCGACCTGGTCATCATCATTCATCATCATTACAGCCCTTCACAAGTCCACTGCTGAACATAGGCCTCCCCCAAGGAATGCCACAAAGCCACCCTAAGCCACCTGCATCCATCGTCTTCCTGCATGTCTTACCGGGTCGTCACTCCATCTAGTGGGGGGTCACCCTGCACTTCGCCTAACGGTACCAGCCTGCTACTCGAGAACCTTTATTCCCCAACGGTTGTCGGTTCTTCGAGCTATATGGCCGGCCCATTACCACTTCAGCTTACTAATCCGTTGGGGTATGTCGGTCACTCTGGTTCTACTGTGGATATCCTCATTTCTAAGTTTATCACGCAGAGAAACCCCGCGCATAGCCCTCTCCATAGCTCTGGCAAGCAGTGAAGGACCACGTCTCATTTCCATAAGTCATCACTGGCAACACGCACTAGTTGTACAGTCTCGTTCTCAGGTTTTGAGGTATAGCTGACGAGAAGATGTGTCGTAATTTCCCGAACGCTGCTCAGCCGAGTTGAATTCGTCGATTGACCTCTCGGTTGAAGTGGAAATTACTTAGTCAGACTATTTGTCCCAGATAAACATACTCGTCAACAACTGCAAGCTTAGTGCTTCTAACAACTACAGGCATAGGTGTGACATAGACGTTACACATGATCTTCGTTTTGTCCATGTTTATTTTAAGACCTATCCGTTGGGAGGCACCATTGAGGTCATTGAGCATAGTTCTTAGGTTTTCGGTCTTATGTACAATTTTCCGAAGGGTATGTACTATGTGGTCTATGGTGCTAAAGCCTTTTCGGAAACCGGCTTGTTCGGGAGACTGGAAATCGTCGAGTCTGCGTGCGAGACGATTCTTAATGACTCTCGAAAACAGCATGAGACGCGGCTCAGAAGGGAAATCGGTCTGCAGTTCCTCAAAAGAGCATTGTCACCTTTCTTGAAGAGCAACACGATTTCACTTCTGTTCCACGCCTTGGAAGTAGTGCCACCATGGAGGACGGAATTAGAGAGCTTCTGAAGGACTTCAAGTACCAGTTTTCTACCCGCTTTCAAAGGTCTGCTCTAATTCCATCCTCGCCCGGGGACTTGACGTTTTCAGGGTGCTGGAGAGCCAATCTAATCTCGCTCAGACTGGCGTCCGGACAAGACTTAGTGTCGGATAAAACTTGCTCTTGGATCGTTACCCACATTTGCATGTGGCACCAACGATGACGTGTACACCTGCCCATAGAACCTCCCAATCTCGCTCAAAATTTCAGGTGTCCCGAAAACGATGCTGCCACAATCGATCTTCAGCTTCGACAGTTGGCTCTTTCTGGCAGACAGATCTCTGGCAAAGACTTTGGAGCCCTAGTTCCGCTTAGTCGCTTCTTCAATACGAGCTGTATTGAAGTTGCGTAAGTCCCGCCGCATGCATTTGGAGATCTGTCAGTCCAGTTACCTGAACCTGATTGACTGAACCCGGTCGTGTTGCGTTCAGAATATGTTGCAGTGTCACTACTGCGTAAAAAACTGTCCTCTTAACATAATCTTAGAACATATTAATGAGATCTCAGATCCGTTCCTGATCCATTAGATGCCAATATATCCACATATTGAGTGTGTAAATAGAATCTAAGTGTGACATTAAGTCCGTGTATATGACAAGACCGTGTAGTGGCGGTATGAGAATATCCACTAGTCTATATCGTCCCGTGGGTGTCGTTAAAGGCGACTGAGGGAAACTGAAGCAGGAGATTCGCAGCAGCATCTTCCTATTAAAAACAAAAAGTTAAAAAAAAAAACAGCGGTCGCCAACCCGCAATAGAAACAGAAACGTTTTTATTCAATATGGATCGTAAATAATACTTATTGAAAGTCACTTTTTTCATTTACCACCGGTTCGCTAAAAAAAACCTCTGTCCTGGGTAGAACCAGAAAGACAATCAGCGGGACAATTTTTTTTTTAAATAACAGCTTACAATCGTGTATGTTACAATTAACAACACAAAACAAATTAGAAATAGCTTGGTAGCGATCACCCTGGCGATGGTTATTATCATCCATAAATTCTTTAATACTATAGTTACCCTTTTTATACAAACTTAGTTTAATAAAATTTTTGAACTTTGTGTATGTCAATTTGTACATTTTCTGGAAGTTTGTTGTAAAAGAGTATACTCGTACATCGTCCTAAGAATGAATTACTGACTCGGTGGAGTCGAGTAACTGGTTCTACTAGCTTGTGTCTGTTCCTAGTAATTAGCATAGCATAAGCACTCATGCCTATCACCCAAAGGGGTAGGCAGAGACTACATACTTCCATTTGGCACGATCCTGACACACCTCTCTCGCCTCTTCCACATCCACCTACGCATACATGCTCGTCGGTTAAGGGTACTCTTAATTTGGCCTCTTCAATAGATCGCCAATTTGGTCTGCAAACTTTCGCCTAGAGCGTCCCTCACCGACTCTTCTGTTTACTTCTGCTACATAAATTTGCTTCTATTATAATAAATTTGCTCCTAGTATTTACAGAATGAATATCACTTATTTTTGTAAAACTATTTTTATTTTTGTGTATGTACATTACATTTTTATAAATTTTCATAAATATCTGTCTATTCAAAAACTCACCATCCATATGAGGCCATTAATATAGGAGGCCTATGTTCAGCAGTGGACTATTATAGGTTGTGATGGATGGATGGATGAATGTGACAATGAGAAAATACCTTTGTATTTGTACGTAGCTTGCAGTCAAATTCAAATAAAAAGGTTGCAAATAATTTGCTATAGAGTATCTGTTTTTCCATTCAATTACAAAGGTAGTGTCTTCAAGACAGGAGTGAATAGAGTTTTGTTAAGTCAGTGTGCTTTGCAATCATCACTTACTAATAAGTGGAATTAGTAGTCAGGCATTGGCTTATGATAGTTAGAGAAAGATGCTTTGTCACTGAGGAATAAACTGAATGACTCACCGCCTGTGACTATAACATAGTAAAAACAGAATAGTAGGCTTTCTTCTAAGAAATGTACCGAAGGCCGTTAATAAGTGTGCGCGCCTGGCACGTGCCAGTACGGAATCGTACGCACGAACCACAGCACGCACGCAACTACACTTGCTAAGTCGGAAAGATCTGGCCGAGTCGGGGACGGCCACCGCCGTACTCCGCAATCGCCTTTGTTTGAGACTTTGTTGGTTTTTAATAAAATTTTGCTAGCAGCCTTTTTTACGTTTTATCTTTCATTTCGTAAAATAAATTAATACATGGGTTTGTTTAAGTAAATTAGCTTTTTATTAATAGGTTATATTACTATATTTATACATAAATACATACCCCATAAGTATAATGATTTCTTATATTTACGCGAACACTATACATTGATCAAAACTACTGTTACGGATTGTATCACGTTTTATTTATTATATTTTTAATACCAGACGTTTCGGGTGCTTTCCAGCACCCGTGGTCCGGGGGACTGAGGCGACTGACGTCCCGATGTCAAAGTGAACACGGAGTACCTTCAGCTTTTTAATTATTGTCTTTGGTCCGATCTACGCAGAATGAACTAACTGTGTTTTGAAGTCTTGCAGTGGTATGCTTGGGTTTAGTTTTAATTTTATTAATTATAGGGTCCCAAGCAGGTGGTAGTACCCAGCCTCCTTCTCTATTGAAATTAGGATGTTTTTTAATTTCAATAACCTCACGTATCATCCTTGGTAGGAACTGATCTTCTTTCGCGAGGATTTGTGGTCTATCAAATCTGATGTAATGGTTGGGGCCATCTAGGATATGATCGCAAACTGCAGACTTCCCGGAACGTTGATGCTTCACGTCAGCTATGTGTTATTTTACGTGGGTTCTAATTGATCTCTTTGTTTGCCCTATATATGAGAGACCACAATCACAATCAAGCTTGTACACTCCGAGATTGTGGAGCAAACAAAGAGTTCATTCTGCGTAGATCGGACCAAAGACAATAATTAAAAAACTGATGGTACTCCGTGTTAACTTTGACATCGGGACGTCAGTCGTCTCAGTCCCCCGTGACCATGGGTGCTGGAAAGCACCTGAAATGTCCGGTATTAAAATATAATAAATAAAACGCGATAAAATCCGTAAAAGTAGTTTTGATCAATACATCATAAGTACATTAATTATCATATCACATCACATTAAATTGTCTTAAACATTAAATCTGAGCTGATACCACATGCTCAGTGCTAATTTACTCGTATTTTAGTTATTTGGTATTCGTTGTAATGTAAGCTGTATTTTTTTTACAAACATTGATTTTTTGAGAGGAAACTTAAAGAATGTATAACAAATATGAGGCATAGGTACATATCCGTATGTATTATGTTTGTAAATATTATAACTACTTATAAAACTAAATGAGACATAGCTGTTAAACAAATAGTGACAACCCTGCAACAATAGGCATTTAAGTCTCGCGCGGCGCTGGAGTTATCCTACTATTCTGTTTCTACTATGACTATAATACATTCTAACCCCTTAAACAGAATACAGTTGTAGATAAACTGTTGGTTGGCAGCGCAAATAGGTAGGAGATAGTAGTAGTAGTAGAAGTTCGATGTAGAAAAAAGCCCAAACAGCCGACAATATGATGACCTTAGGTCATCATCATACATCAGATACATTGCACAGCATTCATACAGTAATTCTCTAAGTTAGCTTACCGACGTTATCTTGGTCTGTGTCTTAATTCTCTATGTGAGAATTAAAATATATATTTTATTAAAAGTTAAAGCTACAGCCTATCTACGTCCCACAACTGGGCACAGGTTTAATTTCTGAGGGCGAACTACACATGTCTTTGAAATATTTTTTCTTATTTCTCAGACATGCAGGTTTTTTCACGATGTTTTCCTTCGCCACTGTGTACGTGATAAATCAGCACTTAAAATTGCAATGAACAATTTCATTGGTGCTGGCGGGTATCGAACCCGAGTTGCTCGTATACTGTGAAATATACAGCAGGTGCTTAACTCCTCTGATACCACTGCTCTTTTATTGCTTTCAATATTTCTACTAAATATATTATCTTTTCCAGTTGCAATATGCGCGATGCGGGGCTATGAGGAATTCCACCGTCGGAACTGGTTCAACAAAGTCTTAAGTTGGATAAATGACGAGGGTTGCATTCAAGAGAACCCAAACTGTGAATATAATACGACCAGTTTACTGCTCAAGAGAAACGCGGGGGATGAGGTGATGAGAAAGAAATTAAGAAGGGAGTTAAGGAATGAATTACTCAAAGAGTGTCACGATCACCCTATGGCGCTCGTGATGATTGTATTGGCACACGGGATTCGATACGCAGTGCATTATATGTCAGAAGTTACTTATCCGTTGATTTAAAAAATATAAATAATGACGTAAAATAAACGAAATTAATTTGAAGACGATTCCATCATTTTTTCTCGACATATGCGGGACCGAAATGTTTACGAATCAGGCACAGCCGGGGCAGGTTGCTAGTATTATAATACGTGTACCTACAATGCTAAGGCATAAATAATTTAAGTGGATGAAATAGTATATGTAGGTAATTGTAATAATGGCTATTCGTGTGTGCTAAAATTCATTAACATACCATTGAAATTCACACAAAATATTTGTGGTAGAGAAATGCTGCAGTGTATAAGTTGTAGCACGAATGGGTCGGCTCGACCGGGCAAGGACCACGCTCTCACAGAGTACTAGCGTAAAATGGCAGCCTAATACTGCTGTGTTTCGTATGGTGAGTGTAGAGAACCGAAGACCCTTTTTTCTGGAAACGAGGTATTCCATCTTAGGCAATGCATGTCCATTTTGATTCTTAATCGTGGCTAGATGTAGATGTCTATGGGCTACAGCATCCAGTCACCACTAGGTGGACTCTTTGTTCGATTCTCAACCTTATTCTATAAAAATATGACATGATTTACTTACTCGTACTGTCTCGAATATTATATGTTCATTTAATTGTATTAATTTGATGCGAATACTAACTACGTGGTGTCGGTTTATTGACAATTTATATAATTTTTGATCCGCAAACTACGAATACGATTGACGTATCAGCTCTGTGGATATAAAAGTAAAAATTGAAATGGACAAAAACAAGAAAAATATTTCTCTTACTAAATTTAGTTTTCTGCCCATCAAAATTTAAAAAAATTAAATTTAAAAAAAAAATACGAAGTATTTTTTGAAGCGGAGGGAGCGAAACTAGCGGAGCTCCCATGGCGAAAGAAAACGATTCTTTGAAATCTATCTCCTCCGTAACCCGTTGGCCAATTTATATAATTTTTTCGGCAATATTTGTATCACAACGCAGACAAGGTTTGTAAATAATAAAAATTTGAATTTGAATTTTTTTTACCATCTAATCATTTCGCTAATGACACACCATTTGATTGGATCTTTTGTTGAAATAAAGATAGTTATGACTTTAGCATCTGCATGTGCATCGGCCTTAGTTAACATATTCTTGCTTTATCATCCGAATTTGAGCTATATTCAAAATTTCAAGTTTCCAGCTCGTCGGGAAGTTAGTTTACAATCAATTACTAAATTCCACCCGGAACGACAAACAGACAGACAAACAACTATAACATAGCTGCAGCAGGCTCTGCTACGTAAAATGCCGCATTACCATCTTGGGCCCACCTAAAACACTTGGTAGCCAGAGTGGCGATCGTAATACACTCAAGAGTTACACATAAACCTATACGTCAAAGGCGATGCTCTAGAATTTTACTTGTACTTTATTCAATTTTAAACGATCCAAGGTCGCCTTCTTATCTTAAGGATAATTTTCATTTTTTTCATCCGATCGACGGTCGAACATCCCGACAGTCAAACCGTCTGAGGTTAAGGTTTCCACAGCATAAGTCAATTTTTTTTGGTCGTCTTTTACGATACAAGTTACACAACTTTGGAACACCCTCCCCAACGATATTAAGAATGCCACAAACAAAAAGTTTTCAAAGTTCTTCTCCGAGAACATTACCTGAAGGAAACTACTAATTAACATTATTTTTCTTTAATTTTTCTCTTTCTTTTCTTCTTTTTTACTTCAAATATTTATTTCATTATATATTATTCAAACATTATATTATATATATCATTCATTTGGATATTTATTTACGAAGTTTATAAGCATGAATATATATATTATATATATGTATGTATGTATTAATGTACGTATATTTAAATGTAATGTGTATGTATGTAATTTGCATATATGTATATTTTAATGTATAAGCACTCATTTACGTATAATGGTCGCACCTGGCAACAATTGTCCTTGGCACCCAGGGTTGACTGGCAGAGAATGCCACATGGCCATTAAGTCCGCCCTATGTACCCTTTAGCTTAAGATGTTACGTGTAAGTTTTTAAATAAATTTAAAGAAAACTTTGCCGCTATTCCTTGTCACCGGCCTGGATATGTACCATGTGGCGTTATTCGAGAAAGAATAATATTATCTATAGAAAGCTATGAAGTTTTATTGGTTTTCCCCATTATCCACTTTTCCTCTTAAAGCATACAGCTTTATTTACCTTTGTTTTATTGAATAAAGTTTACAGACGAGCACACAGTCCAACTGATGTGATGGGTAAATGAATTTTTGGCCCATTTTCACTTACATCTACCCTCGATTAAGGATAAAAACGTGGTTGAGTTGCAACCTCTGGTGTCTCGTTACCAGAAAAGGGCTTTCCGGTTCTCTACACTCACCATACGAAACACAACTGCATTAAGCTGATACTTTTTCCACCTGATGTTAAGCGGATGCTGTGGCCCATAGACATCTACATTTAACCTCGATTAAGAATCAAAATGCAGATGTGTTGTTCCCCTTGAGGACTAAGATGGAATGCCTCGATTTCAGTAAAACGGGTCTCCGGTTCTCTACACTCACCATACGAAACACAGCAGCATTAAGCTGCTATTTTACGCATTTGTACTGTGAGAACGTTAGACGGCTCTTCGGCGCAGTGGCTTAGCAATGAGTTACAGCGCTAAGGGCCGCAGGTTCGAATCCCGCACGGAACAAGTATTTGCATAGCCTACAGGTAATTGTTCCAAGTCTGAATGTTTGTCCTTCTGAAATTTATGTTTGTAAACTGCCCCCACGATACAGGAGAAAGTCCTAGTGTAGAGGTACCGTTTTTATAAAAAATAAATAACGTGATCCGTTCCCCGGTCTAATATAGCTGCATCTCATCAAATTATCAATAATCATTCTTTAGAATATGGCAATAGTCTCCATAGATTATGATATGTTACTTGGCATAAGAATTATCCCAATGTTTTTCACACTGCTGGACATAGACCTCTCGCTGGGCATGCGTTTAGGTAAACGCAATTTTTGATTGTCTAGTTATTCGTTTATTCGGAAAACCTTTGTGTCTGTAGCGGCGCTGTTCGCGCCCACGAAACACACACAACACCGAATCATAGACAGTATATATAGAATTTCTACGAACTATCACTCGGAGTGTCGGCCGCTCCCCGGGCAGAACACCTTGCCCGGCGGGAGATCTCCCCTTTTCCTTCCACGGCCACATGTCAATCTCTTGGTTTGTTTTCTTCCGTTTCTCGAACAGTATTGGTTGTGGATATTCTTATACTACCACTAAATGGTCAATTGGTATTTTTTTATAGGATAGGATGAGAAACGAGCACACAGTCCACCTGATGGTAAGTGGTTGCTATGGCCCATAGACATCTACATCTATCCTCGATTAGGAATCAAAATGCAGATGCGTTGTCACCCGTAAGGGACTAAGATGGAATGTTTCGATTCCAGTAAAAAGGGTCTCCGGTTCTCTACACTCACCATACAAAAGACAGCAGCGTTCGAATTTTACGCTTGTATTCTGTGAGAGCCTGGTCCTTCCCCGGTCGAGCTGACCCATTCGTGCTACAACTATACTACTAATATAACTGCAACATGGCTTTACCACGTACAAAATATATGCTGATTCTTAACTTATCTCACGAATATCTTAAATAGTGGTTTTGTTTAATGATTTATATGCCAATTTATCAACAGCATGGTCTTTCAAGAAGTATAATTTCAATAATAGTTGCAAATATATTGCCTTAATAAACGTAAAGCCATAATTTCCAAACGGAGGCTCGCGTTTTGCTGATATGTCCAGAGGTTAAACATCTTGCAACATCAAGGGACTGGAGATATCAGGGCTCGAATAATCGATATAACAAAACATACCATTGCAGATGTACTAACATCCTCAATCATACAGTCATCGAAGGCGTTCGTCCCTTCGACCACGCATGGACCGGATAGAACCTTTCTCTCAAGCCGTCTTATACACACGCAAAATTAGTATGTCCCTGCGACCAACTACTTGGGTCTGACCCAGGTTATACTGTTACACTAACCCCACTGGACTGGACACTATGTTCGACTAACCCGACTGGACCGAACGGATGTGTCCACTAGTGCTTAGCTCTGACGATATTTTCCCTTCGAACAGCTGCACACTAATCGATTCAAAGGAAACCTTACCAATCATAACAATATTTAAGTCAAATTCAGTCTCCCCCCCCCCCCCCATGTACCTAACGCCGGCCGGTAGCAGCATCGAATAGTCTGTCTGCGGTGTTGCCTACGTTGACAGCATACTTCCATTAAAGATCGAGCAGCACAGTACCACGCCTTCCTCTAAACGCAGACTATCACACGTCATCTTGTGGATAACAGTAAGCCGTCAGCATACGGTTTAACAGTTATCACCGCCTGCGACAGAAATTGACACTTGTTAAATATTACAATGCTCGACCATGCGAGACTTCATTTAGGTCGATCGTAGTCGACTGATCCGGGCTTATAAGACCCTTTCAGTCAGTATTATTACTGAAAGTGTGCACTGAGCGTGTTGAGCTCCCTATTTTAGTGGTCTAATACTAAAGGCGTGAGCAGGGTGTACATGGCCACTTTTTTAACTTATCAGAAGTCACTTGAACTGTGGATGGGTATCCGTAACCCTTTCATCCACATACCAGAAATCGTATAATATTCCTCGGACCGGGCCTGCTTGGCCCCTTCATCCACCGGCATCAGACTATATACGGCGTGGATCGAGCATGCGAGGCCCCTTCATCCAGCCACCTCAGACAATATTCAACCTGGACCGGGAGTGCAAAGCCTCTTCAGCCAGCTGACTTAGGCTATACGCAGCGTGAACCGGGCGTGCGAGGCTCCTTCTTCCAGCTACCACAACAATACGCAGCGTGGACCGGGCTTGCGGGGCCCCTTCATCCAGCCGCCTCTCGACTCAACGTACAACGTATATGTAATAGGCGTTCGAATCCCTTAAAACAATTACCGACTACTGCATGTAACATGGACAGAGCGCACCAAGCTCTCCTCTCCAGCTTCCACACTATGACTTTAATGGATCTGGGCATCTTGAGCTCCTTCGATACTATCAATCTTTTGAACGTGAAACGAAACAGTGATTTGCATACGAATAACTATAACACAGTGAGATAGAAATTTACTTACACGCATGCGCCTGAACTCGGAATACGCTCATATTTGACACATTACCTTTGAGAGTATTGGAGTTAGCAGTTACAGTATTATAGGATTGATAACGTATCACTATCGCTGTCGACTGGCCCTTATTGATATCTTCTTTATTGATCATCGTGGTAGCGACTCTACTAACCCCGTAAACCCGTAAATTGTAACACTTATCAGCACATTAGAACACAAATAGCTACTTATTCTTCATTCATTCATTCATTCACTCATTCATTCATTCATTATTCTTTTAATCGATAGCACATTAACGTTAGACATTTTTTTGGTACATCGCTTCACATTTCGCACTTTAAAATGTACCGCAAGTAAATCACATTTCGCATGAACTATCAAATAATGACATCACTCGAGCAACTTAAATTTCCACTGTACATTCAACATTTGTTAACATATTTGGGTACATTAAAAAATTACAAAAGTACTTGTGGGTACTTTTGATACAAATCAAACAAAAAGATTTAACGTTTGACTTAAAACATTTCACTTAGGAACAGCAACTTTCATTACGTTATGTAACTACCAAAAAAAAAACCAAAGGTATCAACGCGAAGCGTATCATAGTCTATCACAAACGTAACAACCCTTACACTATTCGAAGATTATATGTGGGCGATAAGAAGAACTTTATCCCACTTCTGATGTCGGAAAGTAAAAGACGATAAGCCAATTGTGTGGGAAATAACAGGATAGCGTTAATTATTAAAAATGAACCGATGTTCAACTTGCTCTCTTGCTTGCGCAATTTATCATTATCAATAATAGGACAGCGTAACGCACTATACATTCAGCATACAGTAATTACAGTTTGCAACAGTAGCGAAAACATGACCGCAGACTTACCCTCTCAACGTAACACAGCCAGCTCTCGCACACCATCCTCCTCGCACCAGAACAAAAAAAACCACTTTCACAAAAAACCCGAAACAACCAACCAACCCCCCCCCCCCCCTGCTCAAACAACAAAAGAAGGGGATGGCACCTAATCAACAACCCACCGATAACTAAAATATAAAATAAATATATATATATAATATAAATAAAATATATATATATAAAAAAAAAAAACATAGTCGAGATGGGGGGAGGGGGGACTCAGGTGTTTGTCGTAGGCAAGCTTAAATTTTGAAATATTATAATAAACCACTCCGAAATTTTCTAACTCGATTCCCACTGGCACCAATAAAAATTTTAATTATACAAGTATATGCAATATTAAGCACTGATTACCGATAAGCCGATGCCAACGTGAGCGATGTATATATTACTTTATCCAGTCACTAAACTGTTCCGTTATTTTAGTGTACTCTTATGCAACTTGGTAAAAGTCGTTCATATTCCTTGCTGTTATGCCCCACATATTAATTATATAATTTCTATCTTGTAAATATGACTAATTAAACATCCAAAAACACATAAACAGTAAAATTTTATTGGTATTTAACTTCTCTTGAATATGTGGTATGCTGTTATAAGTAGATATTTCCGTCCCCATAAAAAGCACACGTACACGTTATAAAATTAACAAACGAAAACTAATAATAGGTAGGTACTACGTTACTTTTTTTTAAATAAGATACGACGTACTCTTTTTACGTAGTGTTTCACTACCTGAAATAATTTTATAACGAGGTGTTTATGTGGCGAGGAATCCTCCATCGATTGGGAGCTCAACTCCGTTAATCATGCTGGCCTTGTCGCTTAACAGATAAAGCACTGCATCAACTACTTCTGACACTTCTCCAAACCTAAAAATAAATAAATATTACGTAAATGTTTTAATTTTTTATTATTTAATTTTTTAAATAGAAATAAAATAAAATAAATTGTTATCGCTTCACATTTTTTTTAACTGTTTTCTTTTAGATTGCTTCTTGTCATTGGATAATTGGATGCAAATGCAACTAAAGATATTCAAAAAATTTGAATATATTTGGGTGTGAAAATATCACGATTTCCAATGACTTTTATAAGTCTATAAGACTTTATTACTTATTTTATTAATGATTATTAAATACTCTAAATAAGCCTTTAAGAAAAAAGTTAAAATATATAGTTAGATAGTACCGGCCTTACTTACAACTGTTGGTTATCGCTTACTTAAATTGAATATTAATTATCCTATTATAACTGCCTCTTTCTATTCTCATTTAGTAAAGAGAAAGAGGGAGAGTGAGAGGAGGGGAGAGGGATGAGAGGGAGGGAGAGAGAGAAGGAGAGAGGGAGAGAGAGAGAGAGAGAGAGTATATTAAGTTTGCATCTAAATTAAATACACCCACCTTCCAAGCGGTATTTTAGAGAGCATTGTCTTAGCTTTATCAGGATCTGACCAACCAATACGTCCCATAGCAGTCATAATGACCGTTGGGTTGACTGCATTCACCCTGATACCGTAAGGCCCAAGCTCCAGCGCCATTGCACGAGTTACGGCATCTAATCCTGCTTTAGACGCGCTGTATATCGTGTGGTCCTTGAGAGCTGCCTGCATGTAAAGGTATGATAGAGAATAATATGATCCGTTAAATGTGTTTACTATTAATTAAAATAACTTGCAACAACGTTTGCTTAATTTGAAGAGAATGGGCAAATCTTTTAAGTACAGGCGTGTTATTGCCGAGGACATTATGTCTAACGACGTTGAATAAGGAGCAGAAGACCAATTTGGAAACTACATTATGTAAAACTCAGATCAACAAAGACGGAGAGCTGCGTACATTTCAAGACACTCACTTTTTAAAGTATAAAAGCAAATTAATGATTCATTAAGCAACGATTAGAACCATTTCGCCTCAGAGTACATTTTTAGAGCGCTCTGATACGCTGTCTAAGAATTCGATAGAATATGATACACAGATGCAGAAAGATTACAATATTTCTAAGGTTCGTTTTTTCAGTCGTCAGATGAAAGTTATCAATTAAAATAATTTATAAACTGACTGTATATTATAAAAGAATATTTATAGACATTACAATGAAATATATACAATATAAAAATACTATAATAAAAAGAACCAAAACTAAAAACTTCAATTATCATACAGTCCTACCCGTAACATCGTGCCAAGAACGCAATAAAAGTGAATTAATTTTTTACAACTTCACTCATTAGTCCGGTCAATCTAGAGTCTAGATTCCAGACATTCGGTGATACATCAATTTACAACAAGCAGATAAATAGTAAAATTGCTCAAAATATATAAACAAAATATATAAACTATAATACACTGGTGTATAAATGAAGGGACTGGGTTTCATTTTACCTGATATTCTTACAGTTATAACTTATTTAGATTTTAAGTGTAAGTTACAATGACCGCTAGATAAATATTTTAACATATATTAAAACTATCTTAATATATATATATATATATAAATTACGTGTCACGTTGTTTGTCCGCGATGGACTCTCTACTTAACCGATTTTAATCAAATTTGCACACCGTGTGCAGTTTGGTCCAACTTGAGAGATAGGATAGTTTTATTTGCCCATGAGTGACCCACAATTTTTTTTTTGCTATTTAAGGAATTTTAATAGAACATGACAAAGAGTCGTCGAAAAGCGCAGAACAACGTCTGCCTGGCAAGCTAGTAGAGATATAATTATATACGTTGCGTACTCATAGCTCATGCATATTATGACGTTTTTCACTTTTACAACTTTTTTAATCGTATTATCTCAGAAGCGGTGGCTCGTAAGAAAAAAAGTATTAAAACATATTTTGTAGATAATTTTATGATCTACAATTATTGTCTAGAGAATTTTTATGATAAAACTTACCGTTTTTCCGAAAATCGCGAAACTCATTTTTTGACCTTTGAACTTGAATAAAAAAAATCCATACACAGGAATGGTGGGGAACTTGAAAGTTTCATTTATAACTAAAATTGTTCAAAATTATATTTTGAACAATTTTACCGATTATCAGCTTGTTGTAAATTTATGTATCTTCGCTCTAATTTTCTGGTCTAATTTGACCGGACTATCATACAATTACTGTAATTTTTAATTCGTTTATGTTGCATTTTATTCCACGAGTAATAACTGAAAATCGGCCCTAATTAATTTAGATTTATTTCTTAAAAGTTTTTGGTACCTTAGACGCTTGTGAAGAAATATTGACAATGGCACCCTGTGTTTTATTCTCTATCATTTTCCTTGCGATCACTTGACTGATATTTATGACCGATTTCAAGTTAACCGCCATAGTTCTAAATGATAAAAAATAAAAAAGGTTTAAATATATTCCAAATGGAAACCAATCTGCAACCAACAAAGTAAAAAGCGTAATTATTAGCCATGGTAACTCGAAGAAGAAGTGCCCACCTGAAAATTACACTTACATTTAAACATAATACAAATAATATGGAAGTATCTGATTGTAATATCGAAATAATTGGTTTCTGTTAAGCTCATGGGTTATTTACATGCTATTAATACTGTTGAGCGTTAAAGTTGATGCCGGTAAATACCACTAGCGCCATCATCTAGTATCGAGTAGCAGGCATTAAGTGAGCTTTCTAGAAAATGCCATGCTAGAACTTTCCAACTCCAGCGCCATCTAGTATCGAGTGGCAGAACTAGGAGAGAACTTTCTACACTCAGTCGGTTGGGACCGGTACGTGCACGAACATTCAGGATGTTTCAGTACAAAAGGTCCTATATAAAGGCGTTAGGACCATGACTGAGGCAGTATTGAATTGGTGATACAGGCGAAGACTTCGAAGCGAAATAAAGTGTTTTGAGTATTTAGTGCTAATTTGTTAAGAAATGGTCAAATATATAATTATCTCTTTCTTCTTCTTTCTTCTTCTTCAACTAAAGTGTTAAGTGTGATTAATTATTAGTGTGTTTTTAGTTTTAATTGGTGTTCGGTAATTAAAGTGTAAATTCTGGTAATTCAAACGGCAGTTTTTATTGTCACGAACCCTAAGCTGGTAACAATACGTCACTTCAGCTTACCGCTCCTTTAGCAGTATACCCACTACCAAAAGTTTCCTCCTATACTCTGGAAAGGCTTAGTCACAGAAATCGTAATAATAAGCCGTGTGCCACGCTAGCGCGACGCAACTTGCGTCTGCCATGTGCGGCAAAAACAATACGAGACGAACAGTAGGTGCGTGTTCACGCGTCTTGCGGATTAATCAAAACATGTTAATTTTTCCGCGATTCAAAATATAAATACGGAGACGTTTATTAGCGAAATAATGTCTCAGTCTGCAATATGCTCTAGAAATGATATGCATAATATTATATTGCATGAAAATTATATGCATAATATTATATTTCTCACAACTATTGTGGATATTGACGTATTTCATCATACAGTCTACGATATTCACCAAACGGATGCCTGTTTTAGTTTAAATCATGAACTACTATTTTAATTTGCATTATATCGTGTGCAAAAAAACTACTCCCTTCTAGACATGCAATAATAGCAAGAACAAACCACGTGTAATGCAGCCGCCTCAACGTGGCATACTACAGTACAGCGGCAAGTAGGCGTGTGTAACGCTTCGCATCTTCGCATACACCTAATCCATCACCGGCCGAAGTTTGCTCGGGCGATGATGGCCGAATTCGGACGATCGAATCAAACACTTGTAAAACAAAGAGAGCGCATACACAAACACGACAGTCATCGTCCGATAACGCACGAAAACGGCCGATCAACCGTCGAATCCGAACTTATTGGGATTTCTCGCCCGACTGCCGGCATCTATAGTGCAAATTGAGAGTATTTATAGTTTAATTTAATCTTTTTCTCTTTATTCTGTTGTTTCTGTCAATGTTGTTATTCACCTCAACGACTATGGATATTGAAAATAGAAAAGAATACCGGCAACGTCCAACATACAGGTCCGAAGTTACTCGTCCGGGTAGTTACGTCCGCCACCGGCCGACAAAATCGATTTTGGTGTACACGCACCGTAATTCATTACAACCACCCCAACAATACATCATCATCTCTTCTTACTCACCTTCACCACCTCGCTCCAACACGCCGCGAGCGAGAGAGTGGCGAGTGAGCGGGCGAAATAATTACAATCTATACAAGTCAGAAAGAGATAGAAAAAGAGACTGTATCACTCAGCTTATTGTTATTCATGCACGTAAAAATGACCACTAAGAAGCTTTCGTATCAAATACTATACGGTCGTTTTTTGCATGTAATTTTTGCATTTAACAAGTTCTCATTATACGTTGATATATGGCACTTGTCAAACTGTTTGAGTTATGTTCGTTTGCGCCTGTTTACAAAAACGTACTGAGCTATGTAGTAGTGATTATTGTGACTTACTTTCTTCCATTTCATCCTGAAGTTAGGGTTATGAGACTTAACGAAAGAATTCTGTGTAAATAGACATTGTTGTTTTATGTAAATAGACATTGCTGTTTTGTGTAAATAGGTTTGGTTTGCTAGGTTTTAGTAACTTTTGTCTCGGACTCTCAGTGAATGAGTGAATAATATGTGTATTTATATAAGCTTTCTACGTGTTCGTATTTTGTAGTAACTGAATTTCTAAGGTAAAGGTATTAAACATATACATTAACTAAGACATTTATTTTCTTACCTACAGTATATTATTAAAATGCCTCCAACAAAAAAGAGAAGTGCATTGTGGAACTATTTTAGTGAGCTCACGGACAACAAAGAAAAAGTTGGTTATTGTGCACAAATTTAATTTGAGCAGGCACATGAGACTGTAACATCCTACAATTCAAATACAATTAAGCAGACACCAGAATACAATTCAACAGCAGTCATCAGCATCAATACCAGACCCAGTACCATCTATGTCACCATTTACATCTCTATCTCAAAATGAAGTAGCTGCAACGTCACATATCTCCCCACCGTTAACTTCTCATGGACCACCAAAGCAATCCACTAAGGCAGAATTTATTCACAAACCCGTGCCTGTTAAAAAAACAAATGAGATCGACAAACTAATTATCAAAATAATTGTCAAAAATTATCACCCATTTTTGCTCGTATAGCAACCTGAAATCAAAGAATAGTTCGCCATGATTATTCCTGGTTACAGATTACCAATAGAAAAACTGTATCAAATAGTTTTTTGCCAAAAATGTATCAGGAATGTTTGGAAAAAGTTCAGGTTAACATAAACTCCGCCTGGGCTGTCTGTCTAAATACCGATTCCTGGACGTTGATAAATAATGTCAGCTTTGTTTCTCTCACCGCCCATTATTTAAATAATACTAACATTATGAGGTCATATCTTTTAGATTGTTTTTCATTTTCTGACAGACGCACGGCAGAAAATATGTGCCAATCTTTGCAGGCGAAAATTGTCGATTGGAATACTGCATACTACAGCGGCTTTCGGCGTTGCTGTAGTGAGTGACAATGCCGCCAATATCTCGGCTGCCATTAGGATGGGAGGTTGTAAACATATCGGATGTTTTGCCCATTCTGTAAATTGGATTGTACAATCGGGTTTAAAAGATATTAAAAATAGTGTCTTAAAAGTGAAGTCTATTGTAGAATATTTTAAGAGTTCGTCAGCATTAGCAAAACTAAAAGATATCCAACAGCAAATGGGTACTCCAGAATTAAAGTTAAAACAAGACGTAGTCACACGATGGAACTCGACAAACGACATGTTAAGTCAATTCCTTAAATTGAAAGAGGCTATAATTTCCACTGTGGCAATACTCGGTACATATCTGGAAACACCGGAAGACTGGAAAATCGTTGACCTCGCTATTAAAATATTGGAAATACTTTACGTCACAGTAGAGATGAGTTCAGAAACAGATAAGTAGAGATAGTAGATAGCGGAGTAAAGTAATTGTGATGACAAAAATTATAATTAAACACGTGAATAAGCATATTAATGAAGACACTGGGTTACTGCGCAAATAATATTATTATTGGACACCCCGAAGCAGCAGTTGTCAGATAGATTCCAAAATATTGAATCCAACCCTCTGTATGCGGAAGCAACAATTTGGGACCCACGCTTCAAAGGTTTCGCGTTCAGAGAACAAGAAGAAAAGACGGTCCGTGGTATTAACACGGAGTCAACATCTGCAACTACGTCTGAAACTGCAACTCAACTCGCGGCTGCAATATCAGCATCGCTATGGGACAATTTTGATGCTGAACTGAGTCAGCATCTCAGAACGCGAAATCAAATGGCAGCAGAAATAAGAGAGCTAGATAAATATTTGAACGATGAAATGCTGCCTAGAAATAAAGATCCCTTAATTTAGTGGGAAAACAGAAAAGGAATTTATTCTATTCTGCACTAATAAGTAAAAAAAAGATATCGCATTACTGCAACATCTGTTCCATGCGAAAGCGTGTTTTCAAAAGCAGGCCATATTTTGAATACTCGTCGAACAAAGCTAAAAGCTGATAAACTTTCAAAAATGCTGTTTTTAAATTACAATTTTAAGTAAAACAATAAGAAAGACTGTAAATATAATCAACAAAATAAAGCTAAAAGCTGATAAACTTTCAAAAATGCTGTTTTTAAATTACAATTTTAAGTAAAACCATAAGAAATACTGTAAATATAATCAACAAAATCACCGTAAACAGAATCGATTTTTAAATTCGCCAGCTGGCCATAAATTAAGGACTAGCCGCCAGTCCTAAGCCTGGATAAACAAGAAGGAAAATCGATTTTTTATACAATCTTATTACAGTACGCAATAAATTACCTAAGCACTTATTTCATTCAGAATTATTGCCACATAACATTTCACTGACTCAGTCAATAATAAACACCCACAACGCAATGTATTCGTAACATTCTATATTTTATATCTTTTGAGTCGACGATCCAAAGGAGCCAAATGAAACATATCAGTGTTTCGGAACATTTCAGTAATCGAAATGCAAATGTTCCAATCGCAAAAATGATACACTTCCACCTCAGGCGGCAAGACGCAGCGTCTTCGCGCCTCCCACCTCCGCAGGTCGCCTCCGCACCCCGCAGTCGCACTAGCGTGGCCAGCGTCTAAGACAATAGAAGTCGCATAGACGCGTGACCTTGTCGCCGCTATGATGTGTTGACGAACATCATTCACTATTTATTTTCGTGATTTAGTTTCGCGGGAACGTTGTACGTGAATTTATGTTATTACTAGCTTTTAACCCGTGACTTCGCTCGCGTGAACTTTCGTTGAGGAACATCATTAATACTGCTCCATAACAAAATCAACAAAATTGGATCATTTGTAGAGTCGCCTCGTTGTCACGTTTGTTAGTCAAGTGATATCTTTTGAATTCTCAAAGATTATTGGACGTAGATTTGTTTTGGAATTGCATTAATATCATACGTCTAGCAACTTTTGTCACTTTTTATATCGGTCATGACTTTCGAGGAATCTTTAATAAGGGTAAATTGCCTTTGATTCAAAGTTGCATTATTTACTTTTCATTCTTTAAATTTATTCATAAATTAAGGTAATTTAATTTTAAACAAATAATATCGAATTTCGTTGTCTTCTATTGATGTACGGCAGAGTGATTATTTGCGATATTTGTTTTATATCATTGGCCTATTGAATATTGATTGTCAATATAAAATAGTTGCTTATATTTTTACTAATCTATCAAATAGAGATAAAAACTTACATCGGATAACTTTATACCAAAGAAAGTTAGTGAAATTATTGCTATGCTGATATACATCCAATAAGTATAGTTACTAAAAAGCTTTTCTTTTAATCACAGTTTTGTATACACAGTGTCAAGTATAACAGTTTAGTTAGTTATTTTGCTAAACGTAGCAATAACGGAAAATCATCCCGATAATGGCTGGATACTTTTTGATCCTGCAAGAATAAGTATTCAGTAAGTAGCATTATATTTTTAATCTTATCAGTTGGTTATTATTAGTTTACTAAGCAGTAAATAGATGGCGCTAATTTTAAAATGTGGCCATATCGTAGAATTGATCATATTATCATGAAGTGCTGGACCACTTCAAATTCATGATAGCCTATTATATATTATAGTAATCTATTATATATATATATATATATATATATATATATATAACAATCGCTGTCCGATAGTCTCGCGAAAACTCACCGATTTTGATGAAATTTTTTGTGTGGTTTTTAAGTGAAATTTAAGTGGGTCCCTGTATTGGTTTAGATTTTATATCCGGTAGATGGTGCTGTTACGGATATCTAGAAATCACCCGTGCCGGGGTGAATAGCTAGTATCGTATAAATGTTAACGTTTGTCAAATTAATCCTCAATCTACAATTGAAAATACGAAGTCACTTCTCGTTTCGCCATTATATCATACGAAAGCACCATCTAGTAATATCAACGATAGTAGATTGATATGCGGCTTGGGTGATCCTTGGACTAGGTACAAAAGCCGCGAACATTTATATATATTATTTAAATGTTCGCGATAAGGCATAGAGTTATGTGGATTCTGTTAAAAATTCTGGGTCAGTTAAAAATGCGCTATTGGCGTCGCTAGCGGTGAGTAGTGAAACTACTTAACGATATAATTAGAATATTATGAAAAAGCAATGTTGGGTTTAGTTGTAAATTTCTTCAAACAATGTTTGCTCATCGATTTGGTCAAGCCTTATCACGATATGGTCAACAGACAGTATTAAATTTCACGAAATGCCACAATTTCATGTAATGATCGAATCTTCATGATAAAATCAATTCTACGATCTTGCCACGACGTATACAAAAATATCTTTAAATAAAGTATACGTGTAATGAGAGTTTTGCAATAATCGCAGGCAAACCAATGTTAATCAGTTCATTATTATATATGTATTAGTAATTAAACTAAAAACAATCCGAATTTTCATAGATTTCACCGTTATCTATTTAAATAATTACTGTTAAAATGAAAGAATGATAAACTTCTTAAGAGTTTCAAATCATTTAATAAATATAATTATTTAAACATATAAATGTAAGTTATTTATGTTATTTAATTTATTAGTAAGTAACTGATAACTGAAGGCTAAATATACTACATTCTACTTTTATGATAGATGGCGCTGTTTCGGAAACGTACAATATAGATCGTTGGCGTAGTTTCAAATGATTACATAACAGTTAAAACAAATTTTAAATTTTAATTATAAATATTATATTCGTTTAAAAAAAACTACGATATCCCGCTTATAACTAACAGAATCATACATAATAGAAAATTAATTTCTAAAGAAAGGAAAATATTTAACCCTCCTTTTTTAAGTTCCGTAATCGGATAAAGAGTAGCCTATAAGTAGCCCCAGGTCACTTAATGCCTGCATACAAAATTTCATGGAGATCTGTCCAGTAGTTTTTGAGTGAATCTTTAATAAACAGACAGACAGACAGACAGACGGACAGAAAGACAAAAATTCTAAAACCCAGTAATTTGGCTTCGCCTTCATTTAGTCCCAAGTGTCCTTTATTTAGTCCTTTAGTCCTATGGACTTGTTTTTTCCAGGAAATATTAGAATTACAAACACGACTTTTCTACAGATTTGTTATATTTATAGATTATAGACGATGGTGAACTGCAGCATAATCAGTTGTAAAATCTCATCAAGGACGTGTATTATTAGTGTATAATTCAACTAATAAAGGCATCACATTTCATCAGTAAGTTGATTATTTAAATTATTAGATAATTATCATTGTTTTAACTAATTTACATCTAGATGAATACTTTACTATGATATTTACCTTTGTAAACTTTCATTTAATACTTTTCGTAGTGTACAATTACCATTGCCGCTTTTGTTCTACCGTTTAACGTGACGCAGGCGACGTTAACAAACTCGCCAAGCAATGAAATGTGAAATATTAGATATCATTGTGCATTGTGCATGTTTATAATACGGCTGCAGGCATCGGTCGTTTTTTGGAGGTAATCGAGCGCTAATTCATTTCTATTGTCTTATTATAACTTTTTCTGTGGATTTAGTTGTACAAGGATTTATATTCCTGGAAGGTATCTTTCATCAGAGCCCACGGCTGGTTATAGATTTTTTCTATAGTAAAGAAGATTAGCATTAAACGTGACATTTGGCACATAGGTTGACAATCATGCTGTAGCAGACTGATTGCTTACGTGACGGAAGTAACTAAAATAAATAATACATACGAATCAAACGATTCGGGAGTACACTCGAGAAACGGTTGGCACACTGCAATTGCAGCGTTGTTGACAAGTGCGTCGAAATGTCCTAAAGAATCAATGATTTCTCTTGTCTTGCTCCAATCAGCAACATCAAGTTCTACTATGTCAATCAAAGGATATTCGTTCTGGAGAGATTCCAATTGCGACTTTTTTTTCGATACGGCAACAACTTTTGCTCCTGTACGCCATAGTTGTTCCGCTATTCCTCGTCCAATGCCTACAAACATTTATATATTTAAATAGTGTTCTTGAAAACCGTTGTTCGAAGAAATACAAAATGGGAGAAATACTCTTAATGATTGTTATAAAAGTAAAAAAGGGCGTGGTTTTGATTTGTACTCTCCTCACATTATATTTGGTGGCTTATTGCGAGTTTAATTGTTGATAAATATGCCGATGCTCATTAGTGTACTTGTAATGGTGATGATACCAAGACTGAAGACTGTACTGATGATGGTACCAAAAACTTATCATCATCATGATCATTTTACCATTATGTAATTAAGCGTCGAATGCAATTAGTTTGTAGATATCATCATTTCACCATCGTGGAAGAGCCATACTGCATTGTGCTACAACTAAGTATGCTACTAATATAATTATAGCATACTTAGTTGTAGCACAAATGGGTCGGCTTGACCAGTGAAGGACCACGCTCTCACAGAATATCAGCGTAAAATAGCAGCTAAATACTTCTGTGTTTCGTATGGTGAGTGTAGAGAACCGGAGACCCTTTTTGATGGAAACGAGGCATTCCATTTTAGTCCTCACGGATGACAACGCATCTGCATTTTGATTTGTAATCGAGGATAGATGTAAATGTCTATGGGCCACAGCAACCACTTACCATCGGGTGGACTATGTGCTCGTTCGTCACCCTATACTTTAAAAAAATCATCATTTTATCCCAAGATATGCGAGACAAATACTTTTCTTCGCACCAGGTGCCATACACAGTCATCCTTTTAAATAAATGACGTACTTTTTGGTTGGTCAACACGAACTTTTAATATTTGGACTAATAATAATCTTTACATGAAACATTAATAATAGACTTAAGGTGAATATAAATACCAGCAACTACAATAAAGATGCTACTCGTAGCAACCAGCTAGAAAAATAAATGTATTCGAATTTTATTCAGAATAATGCAACGTATAGTTAAAAGTACAATAGAGCCCCTTAGAGACCAGTGCTTAAATTATATTAGCTTCAGCCGTTTTCTAGAAACAACGAAATAAATATAATAAATCGTTATTTGCTATCATTTTATTTCTGCTTTAGTAGGATAGTATAGGAGTCTGAAAAGGTTAGGTTTAGTGGGTAAAAGTCACCACATAACCACGCAGCCGGCTGCGTGGTACGCTATGAGCATTCCCAACCTCACTCCCCCCGCTTTCCGGAGGGTTGCCCATATTTGCTTCGGGCGCAAAAAAAAGAGTCTGAAAAGTAGTTTTGTTACTACTTTGGCAGCTGTATTTAACTGAAGTGTGGGTTCGGTATGAGACTGTATAATATGTAATAAATAAGAGGAACGAATTAATTAGCTGAACTAGCTAAGGAATTAATTAAATTGTTAGAAGAATTTCTAACAACTCACGAGAGACCAGCCACACCGAGCTGAATTTATTTAAAAATGTTTGCTTAGCTTTCCTATAATATATTCTATTCTATTCTAAGTCTGTGTCTAACTTAAGGTTCCTGGTTATGAATAGTAATAGTAAAATTGAAGATGGTAGTAGTTTAAGCAATTGCAATAAACGTACTAACCTTGACCTGCTCCACTGACAAGAACCCTTTTTCCTTTAAATAAAATCTCCATTTTTGACAATTTATGACAAAGAAATGAAGTTGCTTTCAAAAATATTTATAATAGCGACGTAAATTAAAAAAAATACAATTTTTTATCTGACAAATACTTTATATTTCAGAGTACATCTCAAACTAGACACAATCGACATCTGTTCTCATGTTTTTGTAACTATTTTATCACAAATGATAAGAGTATTACAACCGTCAACTTTGTTAGGTTATCAAAATAATATCGTTGACATAATCTGAAAGTTTTTCTGTAAAGCCTGAGCACAGAGTAAGGACCAGAGGGGAAGCTTCCTAACAACGTCGAAAATGCTTACCTATTTAATAGGGTTGTCACCTGGCGAACGTGAAAAATTTAAGGAAAAAAAAAACAGTATTATATAGTATAAAACAAAATGTGATTTCATTCTAACTTAAATTAATACAACAACATGTCTATTTACTGTAACTTAAATGGAAACTGCAAAAATTGTATATTTTGCTAATTTTCATAGTATTACTTTTTATGAAATCTTGCTGTAGGGTAAAGCGGCGAATATTGAGAAAATATGTGCAATTTATAATTAAAAACCGCGCGAATCCCTTCCAGAGAATTTTAAGGAATTAGGTATTCTCGCAAAGCTTCATATTATATATTTGTATCAATATCATTTTTGTAAGATTTATTCATCAGTACAAAGAATTAGGTGGTGGTAGTAATGGTTGCGATAGTGTTAGTGGGCAGTGGCGGTGATTGCGGTGTTGATGGTGATAGTAGTGATGGTGTGACTCTGGTGGTTATGCTGGTCATGGTGGTGGTATTGGTAGCGGTGGTGTTGGTGGTGGTCCACTACCCATCACCATCAACGATACTACAAGCACCACCATCAGCACCACTACTACCAACACCAGCACCTCTACCACCACCACCTTCACCACTGTCTGGCAATCATATTAGTTTAGTTTACGACGGGCTGTTTTCTGCAACTCCACGTCTAAGCGCGTATTTTGCGTGTTCCCGAAAAAGTTCAACAGTCCTTTGACGTTGCAAGCAACTTCGGGGAGCGATCTCGGTGTGCCGAGATGTTTAGCCCTGTATGAAGCGACTTCTGGACATGTCAGCAACACGTGTGCCGCCGTTTCTTCCTCTACCATGCATGCCTGCACAGGGGGCTGTCAGTACCACCTATGGTAAACAAATGTTTGTTAAAAGAGCCATTATTATTATCCTGTGATAGCACTTGTTACTATCCTAATCTGTGGCTTGTTTAGTCTCATTAGAACCTTGGTTAGACGACTGTTTACTTCAGGGATGGCCTCCCTAGCTTGTCTACAGTCTACAAATTTTTTCTAAAGCTGAGCGTGTAAATTATTGAAGTATCTACATACCAGTGAATGAACGTCGCCAAAGGGGATTGGTATTATAAGTTCCGGCCCTATAGTGGCCAGAGCCGATCCCCTTCTGGGCAGTTCATCTGCCGCATAGTTGCCTCTAGATCCATTGTGTACCTTGATCCATTGCAGAGTCACATACCTCATTCAATCGTTGATGGCACTCATATATCAGTACCGAGTTCGCCACATTGCAATTCAGAGCTTGTAGTACTGCCACACTGTCGGTCAGTATCCTTATGGAGAAGTCTTTCACCTCCCTAGCATCTATTGCTATGACCGCTTGAATGATACCCATGCATTCAGCCTGGAAGACTGTGTTATGGGTACCGAGCGGTATGCATATGTGGATATTTAGGTCTTCAGAGAAAGCCCCAGACCCCACACCTTCATTTGTCTTAGAATTATCCGTGAAAACTCTGAGCTCTTTTGGTCCCAATCTTTCCAGCTGGTCAGTTTCCTCCAATTGTATCCTGTACTTCTTATCGAATACAAATTGTTTTGGCATCCTTTCATACTTGGCTTGTAAGAAAAAGTAGTCGCAGCGAGCCGTTTGCATGTAGCTTCCACTCTGGTCGGATATTTACTCATGTGGCCTGAGTGACCTTGACAAAACGGCGACCGCAGAGATTTTAGCCAACGTCAAATCCGCTGGCTTCAGTTTGTTTTAATTACTGGTAAGTACTTACTTCCTTTGCAGCTATTTCCATTACTTTTATGCTGTTTAGATTTTTTTAATTTTATATATTTAGAGAATTTCGTTTGACGGAGGATTGAGACTAAGGTGACTGCGATGATGTCACCTTCCTTATGATTAACTCAGAAGGTGGGTAAAGGATCTCAGTGATGCTACGTAGAAACATCGTGTTAGAACTCATTTTCAAAGAGGTTCATGAAGACCTGTGATGATATTACCTAGCTGATGGTGGACTCCAAAGGTGGGTTTAGGATCTCAGTGACGTCACTCCATAGAATCATTGTGTTTGAAATCATTTGAAAGGTACTCATAAAGACCTAGATGACTGTGATGGTATCACCTAGCTGATGGTGGACTCCAAAGGTGGGTTTAGGATATCAGTGACGACACTACATTGAACCACTGTGTTTGGACTCATTTGAAAAGGCTCATAAAGACGTAGTAACTGTGATAATCTCACATTCCTGATGGCGGACTCAATATCTGGGTAAACGATCTCAGTTATACCACTACGTAGAATCATCGTTTTTAGACTTATTTAAACACCAAAGTACCTCTAATGATCTCACCTACCTGATGATGGTATACTCCGAAGGTGGGTATAGGATTTTAGTGACGGTACTACGCAGAAACATCGTGTTTGAACTCATTTGAAAGGGCTCATAAAGACCTAGGTGACTATTATGATCTCACCTTTCTGATGCTGCAATCTGAAGGTGGGTATAGAATCTCAGTGACGGCACTAGATAGAACGATCGTGTTTGAACTCATGTGAAAGGATTAAAGAATTAGGTCACTGTGATGATCTTACTTCTTCGTGGGATAAGAGATCTCAGTGATGCCACTACGGAACACCATCGTGTTTGGACTCATTTGAAAGGGCTCGGGTAGACTAAGATGATTGAGTAAATATGCCATGACTTTAGGAAGAGGTAACTAGTTAAAATACATTTTTAGATTTATTGTGGTTTGTGGCTTATTACCAGATTATGTAATAGTAAAAACAGTATTATTACCCACTTAATTTATAATGTTTTCAGGCAATTAAGAAACAAGCAAAACTCCCAAGTAGGTACAAAATTATAAATCTGCCACATATTCTACAGACAATAAAAAATAAGGCACTAACACAAAAAACAAACCTAGGCCATCCTAACTATTTTCATTACTGAAAACCGATAAGCACTTATCTGGTCATCATAAGACCTTCAGAATGTGCCCAGTCCCATAGATTTTTCCGGGCACACCGTAATCCGTTGGCTTCAGTTCACTTGCTTTACGCAAAAGCTAAACTAAAAATTAACATTTAAGCCCCTTCTCAAAGAGGAGATAAAACAAGAAAAATAAATAAAAATAAACTAAATATAATATTATTTTCTATTTTATAAAACTTTGCATATTTGATTATTATTACACAAATCAAATCATTATTTCATTAATTCTAGTCTTTTGTTTATTTTATCATTTTTGTACAATCCTAGCGCGTATTCGCTCGATGACGCAGCCATATGATGGTCGCACGGTGGGCAAAGCGTTGAAATAAAGAAATCGACAGTCGATATTTTTTTTTTAACAAAATGTTTTAACTTTATATTTTTACTCGTAAATCGTTTAAACTACGACAACCCAATCTACTGTTCTTTATTTATATACACTAACTATATTATGCTTTTAATTTTTCCCCACTTTATTTATTTGCTTATTATCTTAAAAAGAAATGTAATTTTTGTATAGTATATCTATGATCATTTATGAAAACACATTACAAAATACCTCTGCTCCTCGCTTGAGACGCAATGTGCGCTGTGCTCAGACAGAATACAAACGACTTTTTGTTGAAATAATTGATAACATACGAGTATCTTTAGAAATTAATGGCCGATATTCTGAAATTTTGAAATTAAATTGTTTCCAATTGTTCAATAACAAACTATTCGAAAAATATTGTTCAGGTTTTCCTTTAGAGGCATTAGATTCATTATTTGCAAATTACATAAAACCATTTTAATAAACAAACATTGAAAAACCAATTGATTTCATTGTATTCCTCCCCTGAATTAAAAGACCTCAATGTTTTCGAACTCATTGACTTTATAAACAAAATAGCATTGAAGAGGCCTTTCCCCAGCTTTTAAATTTAGCTTATCTTGTCGTTACTATTCCAACCACAAGTTCCTCCGCGGAACGTGCTGTCTCATCTCTGAAGCGCATCCATACTTATTTGAGAAATACACAAGGTCAAGAGCGTCTTTCAGACTTATCAATTATCGCGATTGAAAAACAGTTATTGGTACAATTAAAACTTTCACCAACATTTTACTCGGACGTAATTAAATCTTTCCTTAAGAAAGAGAGACGATTCGATTTAGAATATAAATAATTTGTTTTTTTAATTTTGTACATAGTTTGTTTGTACTTTGTTCATGCCTTTCTTTTGTTCATGTATTGTATCGTATGTAAATATCTTTTTTTTTTTTCGCTCAAGCATACCCAAACGGCTTTTTTCAAAGCCACCGAAGGTATGCAATTGCTGATATGTCATACAATCTATCTAGAAGTAGTATGCCTTCTGTGTGCTTTGTTAAACACGTCCTCGACAGAACTGATTATGAAACTGAAGAGTGGAGACAGATCAAGATTGCTGTATTTTTAAAACTGCTAAAAAAGCAAAACCATATCTTGGGCTTGCCCTAGTTTGGAGCCCTGGCTTCGCTGCTGCATATATTTTTTTAATTCCCGACATTTTGGACGCTTCGAAGCGCCCATGGTCACGATGGTGGGGTGGGAGTGCACTAGGGTGTTTGACATAGGCTACCTTCAACTTTAAATATTAGAAACCACTCATAAATTTTCTAATTCGATCCTCTCTGGCACCAATGAAATTTTTAATTATACAAGTATATGCAATATTTAACGCTGATTTACCAATAAGCTGATGGCAACGTGAGCGATGTAATATAGACTGTATTTTATCACTAAACAGTTCCGTTATTTTAGTGTAATCATTGTCTTATGCAACTTGGTAAAAGTCGTTCATATTCTTTTCTGTTATGCCCTACATATTAATTATATAATTTCTGTCTTGTAAATGTGATTAATCTAAAGTCCAAAAATAACACAAACATAATTAGTATAATTTTATTGGTGAGTATTAACTTGTTTTGATGTTAAGGCGGGTGGTATGCTGGTATGAGTAGACATTTCTGTCCCGATAAAAAGGCGTAATAGGAACTAAGCTACTTTTCATAAAAATAAGATACGACGTACTCTTTTTACGTAGTGTTTCTCTGCCTGGAATGATTTTATAACGAGGTGTTTATGTGGCGAGGAATCCTCCATCGATTGGGAGCTCGACTCCGTTAATCATGCTGGCCTTGTCGCTTAACAGATAAAGCACTGCATCAACTACTTCTGACACTTCTCCAAACCTAAAAATAAATAAATATTACGTAAATGTTTTAATTTTTTATTATTTAATTTTTAAATAGAAATAAAATAAAATAAATTGTTATCGTTTCACATTTTTTTAACTGTTTTCTTTTATAATGCTTCTTGTCATTGAATAATTGGATGCAAAAGCAACTAAAGAGATTCAAAAAATTTGAATATATTTGGGTGTGAAAATATCATGATTTCCAATGACTTTTATAAGTCTATAAGACTTTATAACTTATTTTATTAATGATTGTTAAAGACTAAAGAAGGATCTATGCCTTTAAGAAAAAAGTTAAAATATATTGTTAGGTAATACCGGCCTTACTTACAACCGTTGGTTATCGCTTACTTAAATTGAATACTAATTATCCTATTATAACTGCCTCTTTTTATTCTCAATTAGTAAAGAGAAAGAGGAAGAGAAAGAGAGAGAGAGAGAGAGTAAGAAAGAGAGAGAGAGAGATAGAGAGAGAGTATAATAAGTTTAATTAATATACACAGCTTCTCCAAGCTTGCATCTAAAATAAACCTACCTTCCAAGCGGTATTTTGGAGAGCATTGTGTTAGCTTTGTCGGGATCTGACCAACCAATACGTCCCATAGCAGTCATAATGACCGTTGGGTTGACTGCATTCACCCTGATACCGTAAGGCCCAAGCTCCAGCGCCATTGCACGAGTTACGGCATCTAATCCTGCTTTAGACGCGCTGTATATCGTGTGGTCCTTGAGAGCTGCCTGCATGTAAAGGTATGATAGAGATTAATATGATCCGTTAAATGTGTTTACTATTAATAAAAATAACTTGCAACAACGTTTGCTTGATTTTAAGAGAATGGGCAAATCTTCTAAGTACAGGCGTGTTATTGCCGAGGACATTATGTCTAACAACGTTGAATAAGGAGCAGAAGACCAATTTGGAAACTACATTATGTAAAACTCAGATCAACAAAGACGGAGAGCTGCGTACATTTCAAGACACTCACTTTTTGAAGTCTAACAGCAAATTAATGATTCATTAAGCAACGATTGGAACCATTTCGCCACAGAGTACATTTTTTGCTGCGCTCAGATACGCTGTCTAAGAATTTGGTAGAATATGATACACAGATGCAGAAAATTCACAATATTTCAAAGCGTCGTTTTTTCGATCGTCAGATAAAAGTTATCCATTAAATAATTTATAACCTGACCTGATATTATAAAAGAATATATTATATAGACAATAGATTTACTTTACATTGAAATATATACAATACAAAAAACTATAATAAAAAAAGAACTAAAACCACAGAATATATAATAGTACTACGTACTAAAACTAAAAACTCAAATTATCATACATTCCTACTCCCCGTGATATCGTGCCAAGATCCATAGTAAAAACAGAATAGTAGGACAACTCCCGTGCCGCGCGAGACTTAAATGCCTACTGTTGCAGGGTTGTCACTGTCTTTTTGTTTAACAGCTGTCTCATTTATTTTTATATGTAGTTATAGTATACCTTTTTCCACGAAATTACCATACAGTTTACCAACACCAATTAAAACTTAAAACACTAATAATTAATCACACTGATTCACTTTATTTCGCTCCGAAGCTTCGCTTGTCTCGCCAAATTCAATACTACCCCGATAGCGGGTTGCAGCGGCTTTAAATACACATTTTCATCATTCATCATGGATGTATCCATTATCGCGGTCGCGAACTGCTGTAGCTGCTGCAACCTCCCTGACGCGATGGGAACGAAGATCCTGCCGCACGGCTTCCACCTCCAGTGCATGGGCCAAGGCGTTGTTAAGCGTCTCGTGGTGCCCGAGCCTTACAGCAGCTCTGACTTCAAGGTCGCGGATGCCGTCAATGAATGTCTGCACTAGGTTCCCCTCAATGAGCGCAAGTACAGACTGGTATGCTTTCCGAACCATCTTCTCCACCTCAAGGGCCTACTGCTGCAGGTTTTCGTTGCTGCGTTGCACGCTATCTTTAACCTGCGCGCGAAAGACGTGTTCCATGTGAGCGTCGCCATATCTCGCCTCCAATGCCTCAAGGAGCTGCTCATAAGTCACTTTCTTACCGAGAGCTTCCAACACAGTTAAGGCTTAGTCACGCAGGCCTAGCGTGAGTGCAGTCATGGCCTGGCTTTTATTCCAGCCGGTTGCATCCATGACGGCCTCCAACTGGATTTTGTAGGCCGTCCACGAAGAAGTCCCGTCGAACGGTGGCCCTTTGAATCCACGTAGCGAAGGTGCTATAGATCTATCCCCAAGTTTGAGTTCGTCCAGTGATTTCCTCATGTCAGCCATTACGTTGTCAACCCTATTGTTTACTTGTTTGATTCAGGTTTCAGCTTTCTCGATTCGGGTTTCAGCTTCCGACAGGCAGTTGTCATGTTGAGCAACCTTATCCTTTACCTCTTTCATCTCCTTCCCGAAGGTAGCGTGAAGGTCCTTCATGAGGAGCATCTGCTCTTCCAACCGACGGGCCTGTTCCTCTTGTCCACCCCGCAGCTGCTCTTCCAATCGGCGTCCCTGTTCCGCCTGCTGGCGGGCCTGTTCCTCCTGTCGGCGGGCCTGTTCCTCCTGTTGACGGGCCTGGTCCTCCTGTCGACGGGCCTGTTCCTCCTGCTGCTCTTTCAACTGACGGGCCTGTTCCTCTCGTCCGCGCTGCAGCTGCTCTTCCAACTGACGGGCCTGCTCCTGCAGCATCACTATCAGAGCCCCTAAGTCAGGTACTGCAGATGCAGAAGCTACTGACGGGCCGGCCTCCGTGGCCGGCGGCTGGCCCTCCGACGTCTGATAATAATTAAACCTGCGGAAAGCGTGGGAGGGAGTTGGAGAATGCTCATAGCATACCACGCAGCCGGCTGCGTGGTTATGTGGAGACTTTTACCCACTAAACCCCACCTTTAGCGAGTGTGGAGAGGGGCTGCATAGGCAGCTATCTCACGAATGAGATGATTTGGGTGGGACTCTGAGGCTTTGAAAAATCTCTCAGAGAGTAAGGAACTGCTGGATTGTTGGGAGCTCTAAGTCTCGGTGTAGGTCGGCATTACGGACATAATAGGGCGAGTTAGTGGCCCTACGACAGAATAGATTTTGAACTATTTGAAGTTCATTTATAACTTTGGGTTTAGCATGTGCGAAAATGGGGGCCGCGTAGGACATGACAGGTCGTATGCAGACCTTATATAGGGTTCGCTTGTTGCGGAGTGACATTTTACTGTGTCTGCCCAATATGCTGTTGAACTTACCCATGTAAAATCGCGCGGTGCAAATTATCTTCTTGATATGGGGCTCGAAAGTGAGCCTTGCATCAAGGGTGACGCCTAAATATTTGGCTTTTGTTTGCCATGGGACAGAGGTTCCTAACATCCTGATTAGCGGAGTGGCTGTGAGACGGCGTCGTTTATATTCGAAACAAACGGCGGAGCTCTTCTCCGGGTTTACGTCGATACACCATTTTTGGAACCAAGCTCCAAGTCGTTAACTGACTTTTGGATCTTGTTCCGAATCTGTGGCAGTGAGTTGCCTTTAGAGTAAAGGGCTGTGTCATCTGCGAAGAGGGCTAGTTTAACACCGTTCGACAGAATAGGGATGTCGTTGGTGAATAATATATATAGGAGGGGGGCAAGCACAGAGCCTTGAGGGACACCGGCTTTGATTTGTCGGGTAGAGGATAGCGTGCCTTCGTGTCTAAAACGAAAGGTACGATCCTTCAGATAGGAGGCCTAAGTCGTACAATTTGTAGATAAGGCCCTCATTCCAGACTCTGTCGAATGCCTTGGCAATGTCGAAAAAGACCGCGATGGTCTTTTGACGACGAGGCTAAAAACCGCTGAGGATATATTCCACTATGCGGTGAACTTGCTGGGCGCACGAGTGTTTGGCTCGAAACCCGAATTATTGAGGGATGACAAGTGGGTCGCCGTCTGTGGGAAACAAATGGCGCCTCAAGCGCACGAGAACAACTCGTTCGAAAAGTTTGCCCATGGCCTTGAGGAGGCTGATGGGATGGTGATTGGAGGGGAGGTGGTGAGGTTTGCCTGGCTTGGGAATGCCAATGACAGTCTTTCCAAGAGGTGGGAAAGTAGCTGAATTCGAAGCAGGCGTTGAAGATTATGGCCAATAAGGCGATCACCTGCTCCGGAAAGTGTTTGAGGGCTTGGTTGGAGATGCCATCCGCGCCCGGTGCCTTTTTGGGTTTAAGTCCTTTGATGGTAGATGAAATCTCATCTTTGGACACAGTAATATGTTCAGAGGCGGTGGGGGGCGAGTTCCAGCGACGGACCTCGTCCTCCACTAGTTTGATATGTAGGGGGTCAGTGGGTTGTGAGCTGGGAGAGCATTGAGCGGCGACGCTGTCGGCGAAGCACTCAGCCTTTTCTTCGTTCTCGAAGGCAATAGAGCCGTCGGGACGAGACAGAGGGGGAGTATGCATGATAGCGTCTATCCGGAGGGCTCTCGCCATCTGGTAGTATGCTGTGTGAGAGGAGGAGATTTTCTCCACGAGATTGCCCCTTTCGAAGTCTCTGAAATCTTTGAGGCGGTAATGGAGTTTGCGTTGAAGGCCGCGAGTCTATACTCGGGTGTGGGATAGCGTGCAGCTCTACGGAGGGCAGCTTTTTTTGGCTTTGAGCAGGTTGCTAATATCTAGGGGAAGACTAGTTTTATCTCCTTCCCGAAGGTAGCGTGAAGGTCCTTCATGAGGAGCATCTGCTCTTCCAACCGACGGGCCTGTTCCTCTTGTCCACCCCGCAGCTGCTCTTCCAATCGGCGTCCCTGTTCCGCCTGCTGGCGGGCCTGTTCCTCCTGTCGGCGGGCCTGTTCCTCCTGTTGACGGGCCTGGTCCTCCTGTCGACGGGCCTGTTCCTCCTGCTGCTCTTTCAACTGACGGGCCTGTTCCTCTCGTCCACGCTGCAGCTGCTCTTCCAACTGACGGGCCTGCTCCTGCAGCATCACTATCAGAGCCCCTAAGTCAGGTACTGCAGATGCAGAAGCTACTGACGGGCCGGCCTCCGTGGCCGGCGGCTGGCCCTCCGACGTCTGATAATAATTAAACCTGCGGAAAGCGTGGGAGGGAGTTGGAGAATGCTCATAGCATACCACGCAGCCGGCTGCGTGGTTATGTGGAGACTTTTACCCACTAAACCCCACCTTTAGCGAGTGTGGAGAGGGGCTGCATAGGCAGCTATCTCACGAATGAGATGATTTGGGTGGGACTCTGAGGCTTTGAAAAATCTCTCAGAGAGTGATTTAAGGAACTGCTGGATTGTTGGGAGCTCTAAGTCTCGGTGTAGGTCGGCATTACGGACATAATAGGGCGAGTTAGTGGCCCTACGACAGAATAGATTTTGAACTATTTGAAGTTCATTTATAACTTTGGGTTTAGCATGTGCGAAAATGGGGGCCGCGTAGGACATGACAGGTCGTATGCAGACCTTATATAGGGTTCGCTTGTTGCGGAGTGACATTTTACTGTGTCTGCCCAATATGCTGTTGAACTTACCCATGTAAAATCGCGCGGTGCAAATTACCTTCTTGATATGGGGCTCGAAAGTGAGCCTTGCATCAAGGGTGACGCCTAAATATTTGGCTTTTGTTTGCCATGGGACAGAGGTTCCTAGCATCCTGATTAGCGGAGTGGCTGTAAGACGGCGTCGTTTATATTCGAAACAAACAGCGGAGCTCTTCTCCGGGTTTACGTCGATACACCATTTTTGGAACCAAGCTCCAAGTCGTTAACTGACTTTTGGATCTTGTTCCGAATCTGTGGCAGTGAGTTGCCTTTAGAGTAAAGGGCTGTGTCATCTGCGAAGAGGGCTAGTTTAACACCGTTCGACAGGATAGGGATGTCGTTGGTGAATAATATATATAGGAGGGGGGCAAGCACAGAGCCTTGAGGGACACCGGCTTTGATTTGTCGGGTAGAGGATAGCGTGCCTTCGTGTCTAAAACGAAAGGTACGATCCTTCAGATAGGAGGCCTAAGTCGTACAATTTGTAGATAAGGCCCTCATTCCAGACTCTGTCGAATGCCTTGGCAATGTCGAAAAAGACCGCGATGGTCTTTTGACGACGAGGCTAAAAACCGCTGAGGATATATTCCACTATGCGGTGAACTTGCTGGGCGCACGAGTGTTTGGCTCGAAACCCGAATTATTGAGGGATGACAAGTGGGTCGCCGTCTGTGGGAAACAAATGGCGCCTCAAGCGCACGAGAACAACTCGTTCGAAAAGTTTGCCCATGGCCTTGAGGAGGCTGATGGGATGGTGATTGGAGGGGAGGTGGTGAGGTTTGCCTGGCTTGGGAATGCCAATGACAGGCTCTTTCCAAGAGGTGGGAAAGTAGCTGAATTCGAAGCAGGCGTGGAAGATTATGGCCAATAAGGCGATCACCTGCTCCGGAAAGTGTTTGAGGGCTTGGTTGGAGATGCCATCCGCGCCCGGTGCCTTTTTGGGTTTAAGTCCTTTGATGGTAGATGAAATCTCATCTTTGGACACAGTAATATGTTCAGAGGCGGTGGGGGGCGAGTTCCAGCGACGGACCTCGTCCTCCACTAGTTTGATATGTAGGGGGTCAGTGGGTTGTGAGCTGGGAGAGCATTGAGCGGCGACGCTGTCGGCGAAGCACTCAGCCTTTTCTTCGTTCTCGAAGGCAATAGAGCCGTCGGGACGAGACAGAGGGGGAGTATGCATGATAGCGTCTATCCGGAGGGCTCTCGCCATCTGGTAGTATGCTGTGTGAGAGGAGGAGATTTTCTCCACGAGATTGCCCCTTTCGAAGTCTCTGAAATCTTTGAGGCGGTAATGGAGTTTGCGTTGAAGGCCGCGAGTCTATACTCGGGTGTGGGATAGCGTGCAGCTCTACGGAGGGCAGCTTTTTTGGCTTTGAGCAGGTTGCTAATATCTAGGGGAAGACTAGTTTTAGCAACTGGGTCAACCTTTTCATTCTCTTTTAAAAGAGGATGTTATAAGAGAGGTGAGATTTTCGACCGCGGTGTCTATTTTCCCCGTACTGTCGAGGACGTCGGAAGAAAGGGTTATGGGAGGGTCGGGAGAGTCTATAGCCGAGGTTAGAGACTTCCCGAAGCCCTTCCAGTTGGTGTAGGTTTTGGAAGTGAGAGTTGGAGGTGATAATGGCTGATGGCCAAGAAGGAGGGATACAGGACGGTGGTTGGATCCTAGATCATCGAGAGACTAGATTGCTCTAAGGTTAAGGGAGACTCCTTTAACTAGAGCAAAGTCTAGCACGCCAGGAGCGTAGTTAACGTTGTCGGGATAGTGGGTGACAGCGTGGGGGCTGTAGACAGTCAGGTCGAGAGACTGAGTGATATTGAGCAGCGCCTTGCCACTACTAGTAGTAGTGCGGCAGGTCCATTCAGTATGCAAGGATGGCTTCGAAATCACTCTTAACGGGGAGGGTTCCGCTAGGGATATAGCAAGAGGCTATAATGATAGACTGGTGTCCAGTCATGACTAATCTAGTAATTGTGACTTCCATGCTTGTAAACGTCGGAATGGGGATGTGGAAGCAATGAAGTGACTACTACTTTTTGTAGTAAATGGCAGTAGCCTTTGCGGTCGGGTCTGTCATTACGAAGAAGTGAATAACTTTTGATAGAGAGGCCTTTAGAGACCTTAGAGCTGAGGTGGGTCTCCTGAAGAAGGAGGAGGTCGGCTTCGCGATCTCGAAGAAAGAGCCTAAGCTCTGGGAGGTTATTTCGCAAACCGCGGATATTGAACGAAACAAGCTACAAACCCTTTGGCTTGATACGACCGTGCGATATTGCGGGAGCAGAGGGCTCCGGTATAGTGTTTTTACAACGACCTTAGTAGATCGATTTGCTCAGCAAGAGTAAGAAGAAGGTCCTGAGGGGACTGAGCAGCGCGCAGTTTACGCGCAAGGATAGAGATTTCACCTATATTGACTTTACTCATGATGTTAGAACACTAGGCTTAGGTCATCTGCAATAGGGTCTGCCTGTTTTTGTGGGGCGGCGAAGGGCCGCGGGATGTTCGTTGCCTTTGGGCCCCAAGGATTAATTGGGAGCGGCGCAGGCTGGGAGAGCGGAAGGCTCATAAGGGGCGACCATAACTCAATAGCGGGTTGCAGCGGCTTTAAATACATATTTTCCACCGAAACATCCAGAATATTCTAGTAAATATGGGCGCTGACCAGGCGCAGAAAGTTCGAGTGTGGGGCTTCTAGAAAGCTTAGTTATTCAATTCGATACTAGATTGTTGCGCTGTTGGTTGAAAGATTAGTCATGTTATTTTCTGGAAAGCTCTCCTCGATCTGTTACCCGACACTAGATGGCGCTAGTGCCAGACGTCAACTTAGGCGCGCAACAGTATTTACAAACATAATACATAAGATACTGACCTACGCATCTATTTTTGTCTTATTATTATTATTTAGATTTCTGTGCTATTTATTATTCATTATTTAGTTTCCTCTCAAATAATCAATGTTCGTCAAAAAAAATTCCAGCTTTACATTACAACAAATGCCAAATAACTAAAATACGAGTAAATTAACACTGAGCATATGGTGTCAGTTCAGTTCAGTTTAAAATTAATTTGATCTGATGTGATATGATAATTAATGTACTTATGACTTATGAGTTATGTATCTGTGTATAGATATAGTAATATAATGTACTAATAAAAAGTTAATTTACTTAAACAAACGCATATATAAATTTATTTTACAAAAAGAGAATATAAAACGAAAAAGGACTGCTAGCAAAATTTTATTAAAATTTAACAGTCTCAAACAAAGGTGATTGCGGGTCGCGGCGGTGGGCGTCACCGACTCGGCCCGATCTTTCCGACTTAGCAAGTGTCGTTGTGTCCGTGCTGTGGCTCGTGTCCGTACTGTCACATACCAGGCACGCACACATATTAGCGGCGTTCGGTACATTTCTTAAAAGATAGGCTACTATTCTGTTTTTACTATGCAAGAACGTAATAAAAGTGAGTCAATTAAACTCCTTTACTCATACAATTCCTAATTAATTAAGATTTATTTGCTAAAAAGTTTTTTGGTACCTTAGACGCTTGTGAAGAAATGTTGACAATGGCGCCCTGTGTTTTATTCGCTATCATTTTCCTTGCGACCACTTGACTGATGTTTATGATTGATTTCAGGTTAACAGCCATAGTTCTAAATGATAAGAAATTAAAAAAAAAAGGTTTAAATATATTCTAAATGGAAACCAATTTGCAACCAACAAAGTAAACCGCGTAATTAGATATTAACAATGACCTAGTAATTCGAAGAGTAAGTGCCCACCTCAAAATTACACTTACATTTAAACATAATATAAATAAAATGGAAGTATCTGGCTGTAATATCAAAATAGTTGATTTCTATTAAGCTCATGAGCTATTTACATACTATTAATACGTCACTTCAACTAACCGCTCCTTTGGTAGTACCCACTACCAAAAGTTCCCTCTTACACTCTGGAAAGGTTTAGTTGTACAAGGGTTTATATTCCTAGAAGGTGTTGTAAGTATTGCTCTCTTTCATCATTAGTTTAATAATACTTCATCATTAGCTCAAAAAGCCCACGGCTGGTTATAAGCCTTTCCTACTGTAAAGAAGATTTGCATTAAACGTGACATTTGGCAGATTGACGATCATGCTGTCAGACTGATTGATTACGTGACGGAAGTAACTAAATAATACATACGAATCAAACGATTCGGGAGTACACTCGAGAAACGGTTGGCACACTCCAACTGCAGCGTTGTTGACAAGTGCGTCGAAATGTCCTAAAGAATCAATGATTTCTCTTGTCTTGCTCCAATCAGCAACATCAAGTTCTACTATGTCAATCGAAGGATATTCGTTCTGGAGAGATTCCAAATACGACTTTGTCCTCGAGACGGCAACAACTTTTGCTCCTGTACGCCATAGTTGTTCCGCTATTCCTCGTCCAATGCCTACAAACATTTATATATTAAAATATGGTTCTTCAAAACTGTTGTTAAAATAAATAAATAGTAAAATAGTAAATAAATAAATAAAACTAAAAACGGGCGTGCTTATGATTTGTTCTCTCTTCACTTTATACTCGTATTTAGTGGCTTATTGCAAGTTAAATTGTTAATAAATATGCTTATGCTAATTAGTGTACTTGTGATGGACTGTACTGATGATGATAATAAAAACTTATCATCATCATTATTTCACATTATGTAATTAAGCGTCAAATGCAATTAGTTTGTAGATTATACGTCAAACGTGGTAGAGCCATGTTGAAGTTATATTAGTAGTATAGTTTTAGCACGAATGGGTCGGCACGACCGGAGAAGGACCACGGTCTCACTGAATACCAACGTAAAATAGCAGCTAAATGCTGCTGTGTTTCGTATGGTGAGTGTAGAGAACCGCGGAACCTTGTTACTGGAGACGAGGCATTCCATCTTAGTCCTCACGGATGACAACATTATCTGCATTTTAATTCGTAATTGAGGATAGATATGTCTATGGGCCACAGAACCCACTTACCATTTGGTGGACTGTGTACGTTTTGTTACCCTATCCTATAAAAAAAAAATCATCATTTTATCCCGAGATATGCGAGACAAATACTTTTCTTAGGTGTCATACGCAGTTCCTTAGTATCAGTGTCCTTTTAAATAAATGATGTATTTTTATGGATCGTCAGCGCGAACTTTAAATATTTAGCTAATAATAAATTTTACATGAGACATTAATATTAGGCTTAAAGTTAATACAACTACAATATAGATGCCAGCACCTTGGTCATATGGGCGATTTCCTGCCGCCCGCGCTCAAACCAGGGAGCCAGAAAAATAAATATATTCGAATTTTATTCAGAAGAATGCAACGTATAGTCACGGTAATTTTATCTATACAGTATTCCAACTTCATACAAACGGACGAAGCGACAGCTATGCCTACGCGCCTCGATCTCGGCATGCGCTCGGCATGCAGACAGTCGTGACTGCCGCAATGATGATTTTGTGGAATATATAAAAAAATGGAGGAAATAAATAATAGAATAGAAATAAAGAAATAATAACTCCGAACTTCATTTAAAACCAAACATATAATTGTTGTTGTAAATATAGATACCTCTATAACCAAGTAAAAGATATTCCTTTTCTCCACCTTGTCCATGTTCCATGTCCCAAAACAATTTTTAATTAAGCTTTATATTAGAATGCGGATTTTTTATACCTAAAAATTTAATAATAAAACATTTCGTACGTCTCAGCCGAGGCGCAAATATTTTCCGGTCGCAAATTCATAAGACCGATTTGTTATTCAAACATAAACATGGTTTTTAATTAAATCTACCAATCAAAAAACGACACGCATTTTTATTGAACACTTCTTATTCAATTCACGAAGTACCTATTATATTTGTTTATATAAAAAAGTATAATTATATTTACAATCATAAAACTAAATGGAAACACAAAGTAGGCAAATGTAAAATTGCTGGAGGCAGGCAGCCCTATCATATGTTTACGTACCGCGCGGCTGTAGGCATTTATTTCAAAGATACAGCCGAGTTACAATACTGTATAGATAATATTACCGTGGTATAGTTTAAAGTACAATGGAGTCTTATACAGACTAGAGCTTAAATTATCTAATTAACTTCAGCCATTTTCTGGAAACAACGCAATAAATATGATAAATCGTCATTTATTATCAAATTATTTCTGCTTTTTTTGTTAAATGTTTTGTTCACTCCTTATCCAGAAAAAGGAGTCTGAAAAGAAGCTTCATTACTACTTCGGCAGCTGTATTTACCTGAAGTGTGTAATTCTAATATTTTCTGGAAAAAACAAGTCCAAGGAACTAAATAAAGGGCACTGAAGCCAAATTAGTAGTTTTTAGAATTTTTGTTTGTCTGTATGTGTATTAAAGATTCACGCAAAAACTACCGAACAGATTTCCATGAAATTTAGTGTATAGGTAGTTAGGGACCCGGGGCTACTTATAGATTACTTTTTATCCGATTACAGAACTTCAAAAAGGAGGGTTAAGTATTTTCCTTCCTTTAGATATTAATTTCTATTTTATACGATTGATGTGTTTTATTAAAATAAATAAAATATTTATAAATAAAGCCCAAAATTAGTTTTAACAGTTGTGTAATAAATTGAACTACGCCGAAAATCTAGGATATTATTGTTGTATTCACTTTTTTAAGACAGTGCCATCTAACGTAAAATACAAATAGTAACATTTTGCCTCATTTGCCATTTTAAAGTTATTTAATTAAATTTATAATTTATTTGAAAATTCTTACGTAAATTTTTTAGTTTTTGTTATTTTATTTTAGTAGATATAAATAAATTTTATAGTCACTAATTACTACTTAAATAGGTAGTAGTGACATCTATCGAAAATCATAAAATTAAGGATGTTTTTAAGTTCAATTTCTAATCTATAAAAAGTTTTAATAGGTATTAGTTTTTTTTTATCTATAAATAAACTTATAAAAATTGCAATTAATATGTACAAAACTTATTATCCTTATAGTTTAAATAAAAAGAGTTTTATATATGTATTGGTAAGATCTAAGAATTTTAATATCATAAATTAATCGATTATTGAAAGTAAAATGGCGGTATTTCATAGTTAGTAACAGTGATTGTTGACTATATCATGAGAAAGCTTGATCAAATCAATGAATAGAGATTGTTTGGCGATAAAACACGACATTGCTATTTCTAGAAAATGATATCATTACACACCGCTAGCAGCGCTGATTGCGTATATTTGATAAAAGCAAAATTTATGCCAAATTTATGTATTATATAAATGTAAATGTCTTTGTTGTGCGACAGAACCACTCCAGGTTACACCTCAACTTATTGAGTCTGAGTACTAGAGGGTAAAGTTTTGGTTGTCATAGTTTTAATATAATAATAGCGCCATCTACTTACTGATAAATAAAGTAATAATAAGTACGTAACTGGTCAAATTAGACACAATTCTATTGAATATGTACTTATTGTTGCAGCATTAAAAATTGTCAGACCAGTACCTATAAAACTGTAGCCACTGTCTGCATGTTTAATCATAATTGTCGATTTTAGCAAAATTACTAACAAAACTGTGTACACAAAACTTTGATTAACGTCACTCCGGTGTTGCCTGCCGCTGCAACTATTTGTCACCGTATTATCAAGTCACCATAATGAGCGCACTCAACGTAGTTTTTAAAAACCCTCTCCCGGGGGCCGCACACACCCCCTTTTTTTTTTTTTTTTTTGGGGAGTTTTTATTTTTTTTTTTTTTTTTTATATTAATATAAAAAAAAATAAAAAAGCCCCAAAAAACATTGATATCATTGACAATTGACTAAGTGACAAAAAGTCACGGTGACAAAAAATTGCAATCAGCGGCGGGCCTAAGAGAGAAGGTCTTTACTTTGAATATGTTGTGTGTCTATCGGCATAGCAATATTTCACCGATTTCTTTTTGTATCAAGTCCGATATATAAGTAATAGAAAATTAAATGCACTATGAAATTTATATCCATAATTGGCGGAATAGTTCGTGATACCGTTGATGCAGCCTTTTTTATTAGAGTTATAAATATTTATTATTAATGAGAGTTATAAAGCCTTATTTTTAATGAGGGTTACAAAGCAGTTTGTCATACTCATATTTTCAGACATAACTATTAACATTTTTGTGACAGTCCCGGTTGCATAGCTCACGAGTAAATGAACAGGTTCTTATGAAAAAGTACTATAAATATCAAAGAAAGCAAATTTAAAACACAGTTTGATTTTATTTTAAGGAGAAATATAACCTCAAATGGCTTAGCAAGATCCTCCGTTATGCCGAAAGAATTATGCAGCACCCTGTACGCTCTGACAGCGCGCGACATGTTACTACTACTACATGCGATACTCCCGTTCGCTCGGGACCTTAATGGCGGGAAAATTTGTAAGTTAGAAAATTTTTTGTTATATTGCAAATTTTGCTATATTTTCACTTTGAGACAATATTTATGGATAAAACTTACAGGATTTCTTGTTGAATGTATAAAATATCGAATAAAATTATTTTTGGTTGCTAGAAATTGTAATAAAATACGTAAATTACCCTGTATAGCATAGTAGTAGTATATACTTCAATTTTAGTGACAAAATTACTACTAATTTGAATTCTACACTTTTGTTTTTGGAGAAATTTATATGAAAATGTTTGGAAATATGTATATTTTTATGTTTTATGTGTTTCTATTCGTTACTCATACCAAAATATTAAAATATTAAAAAATTAAAAAAAGAAATAATAATATTTTATCTGTATGATATTTCGAACAATATTTCAAAAATAGTTTTGTGTGAATTTGAAATAAATACAACGTCAAGTTATTTGAAATATGTAAGAAAACTATTTTTACTTACATTTTACACTAAAAATAAATTAGGATTTCAAAAATAAAAATAACATTTATGACCCAACCGCCAAAATGGGCCTTCCGGATTTTGAAGTATTTTTGGCAATTTACTTTTCACTTTTTTATACCACAAATTATATATCTACGTGTTCACTATATTACAAGGAATATAAACAAGTATAATACTTTCGTTTTTAGTCCAGACACAAATATAAAATTCTATAAAAAAAGACGGAGCACCTTCATCAAAACGACACGTGGAACGCCGAAAGTTCAGAGTGATTTCTTTTTTTTTTCTAAGAAACATTGCCAGGTTATGGTTTAAAATAAAAGAGCATATCTTTGTCTTTGATACTGTTATCTATTGCATAGTGTCTTTGGTTTTGTTTAAAACGAAAAAATAGTTTTTTTCATAGGTACACAATTTTACATAATTCTGATCTAATTAGTGCTCTTCTGGAGCGAACGTAAGGTAGGTATTGTACGATCTAAAGTGCCCACCGCTTGGCGAACCGGATGAGTAGAACTGCACTGATAGAATCTTGAAAGT